ACGGAATATTCTGAATATATCTGTGAAGTCCATTTGGTCCAGTGTGTCATTTAAAGTGTTTATTTCCTTGTTGATCTTTTGCTTAGATGACCTGTCCATTTCAGTGAGGGGGGTGTTAAAGTCCCCCACTATTATTGTATTGTTGTCAATGTGTTTCTTTGCTTTTGTTATTAATTGGCTTATATAATTGGCTGCTCCCATGTTAGGGGCATAGATATTTACAATTGTTATATCTTCTTGTTGCATAGACCCTCTAAGTAGGATATAGTGTCCTTCCTCATCTCTTATTACAGTCTTTGGTTTAAAATCTAATGTGTCTGATATAAGGATTGCCACCCCAGCTTTCTTTTGGTGTCCATTAGCATGGTAAATGGTTTTTCACCCCCTCACTTTCAATCTGGGGGTGTCTTTGCGTCTAAAATGAGTCTCTTGCAGACAGCATATCAATGGGTCTTGTTTTTTTATCCAGTCTGATACCCTGTGTCTTTTGATTGAGGCATTTAGCCCATTTACATTCAGGGTAACTATTGAAAGATACGAATTTAGTGCCATTGTAAGGCCTGTAAGGTGACTGTTACTGTATATTGTCTGTGTTCCTTTCTGGTCTATGTTATTTTTAGACTCTCTTTGCTTAGAGGACCTCTTTCAATATTTTTTGTAGGGCTGGTTTCCTGTTTGCAAATTCTTTTAGTTTTTGTTTGTCCTGGAAGCTTTTTATCTCTCCTTCTGTTTTCAATGACAGCCTAGACTGGGTACAGTATTCTTAGTTGCATATTTTTCTCATTTAGTGCTCTGAATATATCATGCCAGTCCTTTCTGGCCTGCCAGGTTTCTGTGGATAGGTCTGTTGCCAATCTAATGTTTCTACCATTGTAGGTTACAGATCTCTTCTCCTGAGCTGCTTTCAGGATTTTCTTTTTGTCTCTGAGACTTGTAAGTTTTACTATTAGATGTCGGGGTGTTGACCTATTTTTATTGATTTTGAGAGGGGTTCTCTGTGCCTCCTGGATTTTGATGCCTGTTTCCTTCCCTAAATTAGGGAAGTTCTCTGCTATAATTTGCTCCAATAAACCTTCTGCCCCTCTCTTTCTTCTTCTTCTGGGATCCCAATTATTCTAATGTTGTTTTGTCTTATGGTATCAATTATCTCTCGAATTCTGCCCTTGTGATCCAGTAGTTGTTTATCTCTCTTTTTCTCAGCTTCTTTATTTTCAATCATTTGGTCTTCTATATCACTAATTTTTTCATCTGCCTCATTTATCCTAGCAGTTAGAGCCTCCATTTTTGATTGCGTCTCATTAATAATCTTTTTTATTTCAACTTGGTTAGATTTTAGTTCTTTTATTTCTCCAGAAAGGGTTTCTCTAATAACTTCCATGTTTTTTTTCAAGCCCAGCTAGTATCTTTTAAGTCATCATTCTGAACTCTAGATCTGACATCTTACTAATGTCTGTATTGATTAGGTCCCTGGCAGTCGATACTGCCTCTTGTTCTTTTTGTTGAGGTGATTTTTTCCATCTTGTCATTTTGTCCAGAGGAGAATAGATGAATGAGGGAACAAAATGCTAACAGGGTAACAACGTCCCCAGAAAATATATACTAAACAAATCAGAAAAGACCTGAAACCGGGGGAAAAGAAAGGGAAAGAAAGAAGAAAAAGAAAATGATAAGAACAAACAAAAACAAAGAAAATAGAATATGATCAAATAAGATCAGGCTGGTGCATAGATCAGTGCCACACACTAGATTTTGAGTGAATTTTGATCTGTTAGAAGAAAGTGCTTCCCAAAATTTTAAAGAAAAACTTATATATGTACAAAAATAAGGGTTAATACGATGAAGGGATGGAATACGACTGTAAAGATGAAAATTATAAAAGATTTTATAAAAGGAATTGATAAAATAAGAAGCTGGTTGAAAAAAGAAAGAAGAGGATTTAAAAAAAAAAAGGAGAGAATGTGGTCAGGCAGGAGAGTAGAACAAAGCCATACACTAGAATTAGGGTATATTTTGATCTGTTAGAAGAAACTGTATCCCAAAATTTTAAAGAGAGAACAACTTATATATATATATACCAAAAATAAGGGTAACTACTATGAAGGGATAGAATATGACTCTAAAAATGAAAAATAAAAAAGATTTTTTTAAAAAAGGGATTGATAAGATGTTGGTTGAAAAAGGGAAAAAGAAAAATTCAAAAAAAAAAGCAGTTAAAGAAAAAAATCAACTTTGAAAGACTAAAGAATCATGGGAAAAAAGCCATGAATTCTATGTGCAGTATTCGCCTAGCGCTGGAGTTCTGCCATTCTCATTGATCGGTAAACTTGGTCTTGGCTGGCTGTTCTTGCTGATCTTCTGGGGGAGGGGCCTGTTGCCGTGGTTCCCAAATGTCTTTGCCAGAGGCGGACTGCCCTGCCCCTGCCTGGTCCGGGCTAAGTAATCTGCTGGGGTTTGCTCTCGGGAGCTTTTGTTCCTTGCGAGCTTTCCATACAGCTTTGGAGGATGAGAGTGAAAATGAGGCCTCCCAATCTCCGCCCCAGAGGAGCCGAGAATTTGGGGCCCCTCTCCTCAGTGTGCCCCCAGAGAAAAGCAGTCAATCACTCCTGTCTCCCCAGTCTCTGGCCACACTCTGTGCTCACCCAGCCTGTGACCAAGTGTTTCTGTCTCTGGCACCTGACCCCATCTGGAGTCTCCAAACCCAGCAGATCCTGTGGTGTGCTCCCACGCCACTCCTCCCAGGGGAGGCAGGGGAGTCTCCCCGGATCTGCCGCTTGTTGGGTCCCTGCTGGAGGAGCAGTGGCCCGACTGTGCTGCAGATCATGGTTTATGGCAACCCTGAGCTGAAAGCCCGCGCCTCGGCTCTGTCTCTGCAGTCAGCTTCCCCGCTCTGATACCTGGGAGCTCTGCCACACTCTGGCACCCCCGGTCTTCCTGTGACTCCGAGGGTCCTGAGATCACACTGTGCCAGCGAGGGTTCCACCCCTTGCTTAGCCACTGGAGCAACGTCCCTCAGCAGAGCCAACTTCTAGAAGTTCTGATTTTGTGCCCTGCTGCTCTATCACTTGCCAGAAGCGGCCGACGGAGGCCCCGTCCCCCTACATCTATCCTCCCAAATATCGCCTCAGATTCACTTCTCCACACGACCTACCTTCCAGAAAGTGGTCACTTTTCTGTTCAGAGAGTTGTTGCTATTCTTTCCTTAGATCTTCTGTTGAGTTCGTAGGTGTTCAGAATGGTTTGATCCCTATCCAGCTGAATTCCTGCGACCAGACGAAATCCAGGTCTCCTACTCCTCCGCCATCTTGCTCCTCCCCCTCAGAGTGCCCACTTTAAATCCTGCTTGATGTTTCTCTCTCTAGAAATGCAGTTTCTCTAGTGTGTCTCAACACAAATTTTAAACAATGATTAGTAAACCTATCTCATATAAAGGACACAATTCTTTTTCTTTATTTAATAATAAGATATGTTAGATATTGTTCATGGTAGCTGAAATACTTTCTAGGCTGGGTTCATTTCTGAAATGTCCCTTGGGTATTCTCACATACCTTGTCTCAGCCTGCTTTGTCTTTGTGTACATTCCTATGTTTAGGAGCACAGATACGAGATTCTGAACTATAGTATCTGACAAACTAGTCCCAATGACTATCTGTTCCTTACCTTAAGTTCTCATGTAGTTAGCCGTGTGTTTGCCATTGTCAGAAACTCATGCATACTGCCAACAGTAAGAGAATAGTTAAAGTATGGTTTGTCCAAACCCACTCTAGAGAATTGAGCAACTACTAAAAATTATAAGTTGAAGATTATGTAACAGCATGGGAAAATGCATGTGATCCAAATGGAAAAGAGCAAAACTGAATTCTGTATATATTAATCTTAATTACTGTGTTCAAGAAAAATTTTTTCAAGAACAGACTCTGAAAGGAAATAGTCTAGAATTCTAGTAGTGGGTTGTGTGAAGCTGGTGACATTGGATGGTTTTTTTCTCTATTTTTCAATTTTTTTCTAATGTAATTGTAGATTATTATTAAAACTTTTTTTAAAGCTTTATTTGAGAGAGAGAGCAGGGGGAGGGGCAGAAGGAGAGGAAAAGAGAATCTCAAGCTGACTCCCCACTGAACACAGTGCCTGACACAGAGCTAGATCTCACAACCCTGAGATCATAACCCAAGCCAAAATCAAGAGTCAGATGCTTAACTGTTATTATCCCTATTATTAAAACTTTTTAAAACATATATAGCCGCTATGGAGCTGTATTTCCTGGATGTGTATGGTTACATAGTGATACCCTAATTTCATACCAATGATTGTAATGTTAGTCTCTGTCTCAGTTTCTTAAGGAGTACACATGTTAGGGTACCTTTGCTTAAGACTTGTTTATGGATAAATGAATTTATATAACATGCTTTTCTTAAGCAGTATATAAAAAGTATATATTTTTAAAAGGTGGATTATACTACTATAATATGAAATCTATTTTTATCAAAGTTATTTTACCCTCTCGTATGATAAAACTCCAACCTTTTGTGAATATGACTGCTTCTGAAAGTAATGATTTGTTGGGAGTGGGGGATAGAGAATCATTTCCAGCTTTTGATGGAAAGAAAGTGATGGAGTTCAAGGTGGCTTATTCTTTCATAAAATTAGGTTGACCCATCATCATACATGAAGATAATTGTTAATTAGCTACAGCTGTCCAGGTAGTTCTTACCCATGAACAAGAGTATGCTGAAGGGCACAAACTCTGGAGCCAGACCTCTTGGCTTCAAAACCTGAGTGACCTTGGGCAAGTGACCTATCATCCTCTCTCAGATTCAGTTTCCTCATCTGTCAAATGGAAATAATACTAGTACCTATCTCATAAGGTTAGAGTGACGATTAAATGTGTCAATATATGAAAATAGTGCCTGGTAAATAATAAGTAATGTAAGTTTTGGCAATTTTTATTATTATTAAAATTGTTATTAACTGAGAAATTCTTCTTTAATCTATTTATATTTTAGATGGTTGACACAGATAAAAAACAGAATTTGAAAGCCAAAAATACTCAAACACTGATTGCGAATGTTGAAGATAATGAGCTAACTGAGCAACAGAGAAAGATATTTTCTTTAATACAGGAGAAAAATGAACTGCAACAAATGTTAGAGAGTATCACAGCAGAAAAGGAACAATTACAGACTGACCTAAGGGAAAATATTGAAATGGTAGGATTTAGCACTGTATACTTAGCAGGATGTTTTTGTCTTGTATGTTCTGGATTTTTACAACTATACTGAGGCATAATTTACATGTGAGAAATGTATCTGTTGCAAGTGTATAGTCTGATGACTTTTGACAAACATCTCTACTTGTGTACCCTCCACCCCAGTCAAGATATAGAACATTTGCCTCACCCTACAGAGTTCTCTTGTGCCTTGACCCAGTCAGTTCTAATCTCACTCTCTACTCCATATAATCACTGTCCTAATGGTTTTTAAGCATAGGTCACTTTGTCTCTTCTAGAACTCCATACAAATAGAATCATACAGCATGTACTCTTTTGTACCTTACTTTTTTACATTCCTCTTTATTGCTGGGTAGTGTTCCATGTATGAATAGGCCACAAGTTGTTTTGCCTTTCTCCTGTTGATGGAAACTTGAGTTCTCTCCAGTGTTTGGCGATTTTGAGTGAAGCTGCTGTAAACATTCTTACACAAAACTTTTTATGAACATTTTTTTTTTTTAATTTCTCTGGGATATCTAAATGGAATAGCAGGGTCATAGCAAATTACTAGACTGATTTCCAAAGTAGTTGTACCATTTTACATTCCCATAAGCAAATTAAGAGAATTCTGATGGCTCCACATCCTCACCAATGCCTCCTATTATTGGTGTTTTCCATTTTAGCCATCCTATTGGGTATGTACCTCATTGTTTTCATTTGCCTTTCCTTAATGATTAAGGATATTGATCATCTTTTCATATGCTTATTGGCCATTGCATATCTTTCTATAAATCATCTGTTCTCTCAGTGATGTGTTGCAGATTTTAGTGTACAGGTTTTGTCCATATTTTGTTAAGTTTGTTCCTAAATGTTTCTCTTTTATTTATTCTGTTATAATTTTTAAACTTCATTTTTAATTATTTGTTGTTAATGTTTGCCATATTGTCAAATCAACTTTAGTCTTTGTTACTGTATTTGGAACAATATAATATGTATAGATTGAAATTCACATTTTTAGACGTTTGCTGTGGATTTCAGGAGAACCTGACCTTTTGTGTAATTTTCCATATTTCTTGGGATTGTCTGTTTAGTCAAAAGAGCTAAGTTTAAAGAAGAATACAGATAAAAGTCATAGTCTGTTCTTGGTCTCATATTTGCAATGTTTTTATGGTCATGATACTTGAGAATGTCACTGTTTAAGCTTATAACTAGGGTTAGCCCAAGTCATGCTAGCAAAGGATGGCTGCCATTTTGAGCTTGCTGTTAACTGGTGCTCTAAATCATAACCATTCTAGCATATGAAAAGCCCATAACTGTAGTCTTGTCATCAATCCATGAAAGCTTAGAAACAGTCTCCTTTGGCTTAAGGGTAGAAAATGGGCAAACCTCTCAAGACAGAATACCAAATCCAGCTCTAATTTTCATGATAGGAATATAAGTGGAGCAATAAAAAAACAGCATAAAAAGCAGATGCTTGGCATCTATATGATTAAATTAAAGACTTTTTTTTTTAAGGTAGTCTTTTCCAATAGAATTTGCCATGATTTCTTCATTTTTAGGCTGAAGTAAATGCTGATTTTTACCTGATTTTATAAATGTAAGAAAATACTGATTTTAATCTCAACTTTTTTTTAATTCTAGACTATTGAAAACCAAGAAGAATTACGAATTCTTGGAGATGAACTCAAAAAGCAACAAGGGATCATCGTACAAGAAAAGAACCACACCATAAAGAAAGAGGAAGAGCTTTCTAGGATCTATGAGAAATTAGCAGAAGTTGAAGAAAAGCTAAAGGAAAAGGTGAATTTTTAAAGTTACCTTCCTAGCCATATTATATTTCCTGACTAAACTTTTTTTTTTTAATACATTTTGATTGCTATAGAGCTAAGTTCTAGAAATAGCATGTATCTCCCAAATGAACACATTTTAATGCTAATTATTTATGTGGACAGTTTCAACTCATACCTATATCTTAACCAACACTCGTTGTGAGGATTATATTACCCTAATCTTTAGATGAGAGAGAAGGCTTTGATTCATCTAAATTATCATGTAATATATTCATTCATCAGATACTTATTGGGAACTCCCCATAGCCCAGATGCTCTTCTGGGTCTTGAGATCCATTAGTCAATAACACAAAGATCCTGCCTTTATAAAGATATAGTAGTGATTCTTTAAAATGTAAGGTTTATGACTGTTACCATCTCTTAGACATTTACAGTTTCCTGACTCATTTCTTTTATGGAAGTAAGGTGTTGTTGTAATATTTGTATAAGAGCCAAGATTCTTGTAATAATTGTATTACCCAAGTAATTCTAAAATGTACCCACTGAGGTCTTTCTATTTACTCTAAGGACAGTGCCACATGCATTATAAATAATATATTGTGATTTCCATTGCGCTTCTGTGAAATGTTTTTCTCTTAATATATAATCTCTTAATTCTCCTCCCTTTCACTATAACCTAATTAAATTTACTAAAACCTGATGTCTGTTTCATACTCATCCTAAAGAAGTGAAATTAATAGGCTTATGTAAAAGTTAACACCTTAGTATTGAGCACTGGGTATTATATAAGATTGATGAATCACTGACCTCTACCTCTGAAACTAATAATACATTATTTGTTAATAAACTGAATTGAAAAAAATAAAGAGATAGACTTATACATATTTATTAACTTTAAAAAAAGTTAATATCTCACTAAAAATAACAACTCAGGAAACAACACATGTTGGCAAGGATGCAGAGAAAGGGGAACCCTCTTACACTGTTGGTGGAAATGCAAATTGGTGCAGCCACTCTGGAAAACAGTATGGAGGTTCCTGAAAAAGTTAAAAATAGAGCTACCCTACAACCTGGCAATAAAACTACTGGGTATTTATCCAAAGGATACCAACAGTGATTCGAAGGGGCACATTCACTCCAGTGTGTATAGCAGCAATGTGCACAATAGCCACAATATGGGAAGAGCCCAGATGTCTACCGATAGATGAATGGATGGAGAAGATGTGGTATATATATATTTACAATGAAATATCACTCGGCCATCAAAAAAAATGAAATCTTACCATTTGCAATGATGTGGATGGAGCTAGAAGTTATTATGCTAAGCGAAACAAGTCAGAGAAAGACAAATACCATATGATTATACTCACAGGTGGAATTTAAGAAACAAAACAGATGAACATAAGGGAAGGAAAGGAAAAATAAGACGAAAACAGGGAGGGAGGCAAAACATAAGAAATTCTTAACTATAGGAAACAAACTGAGGTTGCTGGAGGGGAGGTGGGTAGAGGGATGGGGTAACTGGGTGATGGGCATTGGGGAGGGCACTTGAAGTAATGAGCCCTGGGTGTTATATGCAACGGATAAATCACTAAATTCTACCTCTGAAACTAATAATACACTATATGTTAATTAAATTGAATTTAAATAAGTTTAATTTAAAAAAAAGTTAATGCCTCAGTGTTTTTTGGGCCACCCCATAAGGACCTTATTAGAAGTAAAAATAGAGTATCCAAAAGTTTTTAAGAGATGAGGAATTATAGTTATTTGGCAACTATACCTTTAAATTTAATTAGTCTCTTTTCAAGTTTTTCTTATTTTCACTTTTCCTCCTTGATTAACCTACTGACACTGTATTAGTTTCCTAGACCCTCTGTATCAAATTACCATAAACTTGGTGGCTAAAGAACAACAGAAATTTATTGTCAGATTTCTGGATTGTAGAGGTCCAAAATCAAGTTGCTGGCAATACCATACTCCTCTGAAGGCTCTAGGGAAGAATCTTGTGTCTAATAACTATCCTTGGCTCCCAGCTCTGCTTGGTGTCCTAGGCTTATAGCTCTATCACTCTTATCTCTGCCTCCAACTTCACAGGACTTTCTCTGTGTCGCTGTGTGTCCTTTTTTGCCTCTTATAAGGACACTCTCATTGCATTTAGGGCCCACCCTAATCCAATAGGATTTCTTCTCAATCCTTAATTAATTACATGTGCAAAAACCATACTTCCAAGTAAGGTCATATTCTGAAGTTCTGAATCGACTTGAATTTTGGGTAGGACACTATTCAACCTACTACAGTCACTATGCTTAGAAGGATACTTTACTTCTAAAGCTCTTGTCTGTTTACATTGGGAGTGTAGGCAGGGCTGTGATAATGATTATTTCCGTTCAGCAAAGTACATTTTACATGAGATTTTAATAGTATATAGGCAAAATGGTAATTAAAAATTTTATTTCTTAAGAACCAACAACTACAGGAAAAACAGCTACAACTTCTTAGTGTACAAGAAGAAATGAATGAGATGCAGGAAAAGATGAATGAAATAGAGAATTTGAAGAATGAATTAAGGAACCAAGAATTAACATTAGAACGTATAGAAATGGAGAGGCTAGAGTTGGCTCAGAAGCTCCATGAAAGTTATGAGGAAATGAAATCCATAACCAAAGAAAGAAATGATCTAAAGGAATTACAGGAATCATTTGAAATAGAGAGAGAGAAGCTTAAAGGATACATAAAAGAAATCGAAGTTAGAGTAAGTTATTACCCTTTTCTTTCATCTATTAAATGTTTCTTTAAAACAGAGCCAATTGGAAAAGGGGGAGGCAATGTTAGGATGATGTGGTTTAATATTCTTTAAATTCCACTTGCTAATAAAGGGTCTAGAAACAAAAGAAGAACTAAAAATTACTCGCGTTCATCTTAAAGAACAAGAAGAAACTATTGATGAACTAAGAAAAAACATTTCTGAGAAGACAGCTCAAATAATAAATATTCAGAAGGACTTAGAAAAATCCAATATTGAATTACAAGAAAAGGTTTGTCTCCTCTCTCCTTTGTCCCTTCTTCTTTTCTTTTTTATTTCAGGGAAAGATGAGTAATAAGTAGTGACTGTGTTAACAGTTCATTCATTTATTGGATACTATTTGTTGAGTCTGTAATGTGGCAGGCAGAGTCCTGGGTTATAGAAATAAAATGGGAACAAGGTGAACAAAATTTATATGATCATAGAGCTTACTCTAGTGGAAAGAGGTAACTGGTAAATAAGCAAACAAATGAATAAGATAATTTGAGATAATGGCAAGTGCTATAGAGAAAATGAAACATTGGGATAACTGAACCAACCTGTGTTAAAGGCCACTGTGCAAGCCATTGAAACTAGATATCATTAAGACATTGTTCTCTCCCCCCGAGTATGGGCATATAAAATAATCCCTCAATTCCAGTAGGAAAAATGCAGAAATATGATATGCAAAGTTACATGGAACCACTAATGACCATAGGAAAGGGGAATCAATCTGTAAACATAAAAAAATTGAGACGTAGCATTGGCGCTCATCTGAGAATTAGGGACCATTCGTTTATTGAGATATAATCTGCTCAATGATGATTTTTCTCCTGTGGCATTTGGGAACTAGTATAGAAATGAAGAAGTGTGCAACTGACTAAATTAACAGTGTGTTAGTCAAGTATAAGAATTGATTCACTTTGGATGTAAGCTGGAGCAAAAGACAATTATGGCAGAATATGACCGGCAGAATATGACCAGCAGAAAAGTCATGAATAGCTTTGGTAGGAATCAAGAGAAAATGAATAAATTGGAGTTCATGATCCACAGTAGGCTGTGGGTTCAGGATCACTTTTATTTCTGTGGATAATATCCTCATCTTGTCCCTTTAAAAAATTATGATAATACAGCAGCAACTCTTTCTGCCCATGGGTCCTGTCCCCATGCTTTAATAAAATCACCTTTTGGCACACAAAAAAAATTTATGGTAATAATCTCCAGATAGTAACCTTGGTATTTTATGCATATCACAAGATCCCAGTGCTTCATGAGGAACAGGAGCTAGTGCCTAATGTGAAAGAAGTCAGTGATACTCAGGGAACAATGGATGAAGTGGAGCTATTGGAAAAGCAATCCAAAACCAAGGATTCAGTGACACTGGCACGCATAGAAATAGAAAGGCTCGAGTTGACTGAAAAACTTCCAGAAAGTCATAAAGAAACAAAATCTCTAACTGAGGAAAGAAACAAGCTTCAGACAATACAGGAAGCAGTTCAGGTTGGACAAGACCAGCTGCAAGAAGACATTAGAGAAACGTCGGCTGAAGTAAGTTTCATCCTTTCCTTCCATTTAATAAGTGTTTTATAAGAAGTCTTTGGAAAAGGAAGCACTTGTGTTGTAGTTATAATGTTACTATCATGTTTTCTTTAAATGTCTCTTAATTATGAAGTGATTGGAAACAGAACTAAAAATATAAATACTAAAAACTGTTGAAATTGAGAGAAATGCTTCAGAGAAGACAGTGGTCTTCTTAAATATTTAAAAATGATTTAGAAAAAGCAATGCTAAAGTACAGGAAAGGATAAAGCCAGAAAAACCATTTTCTTTCCTTCTTTAAATCTATTCCTATAGCATCTCATAAGGCACTTCCTCAGTACCTGAGACTGAAATCTGAGAATCACCTTTCCCAGTATCCTTTCCTCCCACTCACTCTATAATCCAAGCACCAAACCTTGTTGATTTTAAGAGGGGTGTGTGTGTGTGCGTGCACACACGTGTATGTGTGTGTGAAATCTTCCATCTTTTCTCCCCACATTGCCAACACCTTAATCCAAGCCACCGTTATTTCTGTTCTTGGCTTTCTGTGGTAGCCTCCTTATGGGTCTCCCCATATTCATTCCTCTACTTCTGTAATTCATTCCCCATTCTGAACCCAAGTAATCTTTTCTTCTTAAAACCCTTTAATAGTTTATTGCTACTCTTGAACTAAAGACTGGAATCCCTCACAGGGCCTCTGAGGCCCTGCGTCCCGTTCCTTGCTGGTCTCCAGCCTTATTTCTGCTCACTCTTAGCCCTGCTCATGATGCTCCAGCATTGTGCTTCATCTCATGACTTTCAGATGTTCTGGTCTTCCTGCCTGCATCATTTCCATATGCCCTTGCCTAACTAGTGCTCTCATCCTTCAGTTCTCAACTGAAGCTTTCCATCCCCCAGGAAGCCCTTCCTAACTACTCAGGGTAAGTTAGGTTTGCCACATACCCTGAAGGAACCCAGAACCTCTGTTTGGTAAGATTTGGCATAATGTCTATCTTTCCCTCTAAAGTGCAAGTCTCAGGAGGGCAAAGATCATGTAAGTCTCATTTACTATTGTATCTCCAGCCTCTAATAGGATAGTAACAACACAATGAACCCTCAGGAAATAAATGTTCAATACCTGAGTAATGACGAGTGGGAGATTGGAAAGAGTGCTCTGTAATGAGCCACTGAATCCTGACTTAATCGTTTTAGAAAATGTCCTGATTTCTTTTCCCCTAGAATAATATAAAGGATCTTTGGCTGTCAACTCTATTGTTTTAGGATTCTCTTAAGATCCAGGAGCCTCAAGATCAACAAGATCAGACCTTCAATGTGAAAGAAAAGGACGATGAGGCTGAGGAAATCCTGAGCAAGCTGGAGCAACTGCAGGAGCCGCTCGAAGCCGGAGAGGCAGCACTGCCACGAGTGGGCATGGAAAGGCTCAAGATGTCCGAGAGGCTGCGAGAAGTTCCTCAGTCTGAAACTCACCAACTCAAAGAGAACTTGAGAGAAATGACAGCTAAGGTAGGTTTCATCCTTTCCCCGTGTGCTTTTTTTATTATTATTTTATAAGCAGATATTTTTGTAAAAATTAAATCTTCGGGAAAAGGAGTTAGAGTATAATGGTTATAATGTTTCTATAAATTTCTCAACAATTTCCTCTAATAATTAAAGCACCTGGAAACCGAAGAGGAACTGAAAGTTGCTCGTGGTCACCTGAAAGAACAGGAGGAAACTATTGATAAGCTGAGAGTGAATCTTTCAGAGAGGGAAACTGAACTCTCCAGCCTTCGAAAGGAATTAGAAACAACCAATGATGAATTACAGAAAAAGGTAAATTGGGGGTGAAGGACATGTAGGAGAAAACCTGAGGGAGCGGAGTGCCTGGGTGGCTCAGTCGGTTAAGCGTCTGCCTTCGGCTCAGGTCATGATCCCAGGGTCCTGGGATCAAGCCCCACATCGGGCTCCCTGCTTGGTGGGAAGCCTGCTTCTCCCTCTCCCACTACCCCCTGCTTGTGTTGTCTCTCTCCCTGTCTCTCTCTGTGTCAAAAAAATAAATAAAATCTTAAAAAAAAAAACAAAAAACCTGAGGGAGCTAGCTAACTGAACTACAGAAACTAATTTTGCATACTAGATTGTTATGCAGAACATCCTGGGTGTTTTTCCTTTAAAAACAAAAACAGATCAGTTGGTTAAGCATCTGCCTTCAGCTCAGGTCATGATCTCAGTGTCCTGGGATCAAGCTCCGCACTCAGCGGGAAGCCTGCTTCTCCCTCTCCCTCTACCCTTCCCCCCCCCATCCTCTTGCTATCTCTTTCTCTCTGTCAAATAAAATCTCTAAAAAAAAAAACCAAAAAACAAAACAAAAAAACAGATCTATATATATATACACACATACACATATATAAACACACACATTTTACGTGTATGTATATTTTGGCTGTTAACTTATTATTATTTTAAGATCCAAGAGCGTCATGAGAAACACGAACAATTTATTAGCACCAAAGAAATCATTGAGACTCAGGAAAAAATGAGTGAACTGGAGCAATTAAAGGAGCAACTCAAAGTCAAAGATTCATCATTACAAAATATAGAAAGTGAGAGGCTCAAGTTGACCGAGAAACTTCAGGAAAGTCAAGACAAAATAAAAATGATAATGAAGGAAAGAGATGAGCTGAAAAGGGTGCAGGAAGTTCTTCAGATGGAGAGAGACCAACTCAAAGAAAACATTAAAGAAACTGTAGCTGAAGTAAGTTTCCTTCTTCTAATTTTTTTTAGCTACAAAAATAATGTTAAAGTAGTTAAATTCACTGTTGTTTTATTAATTTTTATCCAATCAGAAAGGGACTGAAAATCAAACAGGAACTAAAAACTACTTATGTTCTTTTGAAGGAGCACCAACAAACCATTAGTACAAGGAATATTTCAAAGAAGACAGACCAAGAAGCAAATATTGAGAGAGATGTAGAAAACTCAGATGCTGAATCACAAGAAAAGGTAGGTCTTATTTTGTTAAGTTGGAAAATGACATCTGATTATTGTGTTGCTCATTTCCCTGTGGAAGAAAATAGTATATACATTAGATAAAATGTAAAGATGACTGACTTAATTTAGAAACAATTCCTCTTTTTCCTACAAATTTCTGCCTTTGTCCTAACTTGTTTTATTTTTTCTCAGATTCAAGAACTTCAGGAAGAAGAATATCAGCTTCTTAAGATGAAAGCTGTCAGTGAGACTCAGGAAAAAATATGTGACATGGAATACTTCAGGAACGAGTTTGAGGCCCAAAAGTCAACTTTGAAAAATAAAGAAATGGAGAATGTGAGGTTAACTCAGAGACTTCACAAAAACCCTGAAGAAATGAGATCTGTTACAAAAGAAAGAGATGATCTTAGGAGTGTAGAGGAGACTCTCAAAGTACAGAGAGACCAGCTCGAGGAAAACCTGAAAGAAACTGTAATTAGAGTGAATTACCCTCTTTCCCCCATCTAGTAAACATGACATTGTGTCCTAAAAGAACCATGGGCTATCAATAGGATTGGTGGGAGTGTAAAATTGCTCCAACCTTGAGGAAGTTTGGAGGGGGAATATTTGGTACTATCTTTCAAATATTTCAATAAGTTTATTCATTGAGCCCAAAAGTCCAGTCTTAGCTATACATCCTGTACACATTAACACAATTGTGCAAAGCAAACAAAAAAATAGGGAAAATGCTAAATGTCCATTAGCAGGGGACTGGTTAATTAAGTGCTGCACATTCAGACCATAGAATACTAGGCCACCAGTAAAGAAGGATGTAGTGCCATGGTGCTGATTTGGAAGTATCCTGTTAGGAAAGGGGGTAAGTTGTGGAGTAACATATCTAGCATGTATTGACATTTAAGACAAACTTAGAGGATGAGGTCTAACGGGGGCGGAGGCATAATTACCTCTTACCCTCTCTCTGCCTTTCTACACACAGTTTGAATTTTGTCACTCTGAATATATCATTTTCCTTTTTCTAATTATAAATAGGAGCTGGAAAAACAAGAGCAACTAAGAATTGCTTACATGCATGTGAAAGAACACCAGGAAACTATTGATAAACTCAAGGGCCTTGTTTCTGAGAAGACAGATGAAATATCAAATATGCAAATGGATTTAGAAAACTCAAATGCTACCTTAAAAGCACAGGTATTTTTTTTTTATTTGCGAGTTTGAATTAGGTCTTTTGTGTAATGAAACAGGATATGAATTAGCCTGAAATTGAAGACAAAGATTTGCCTACTTAATTTTGAAAGTATCATTTAGCATTTTTTTTCAATATTTATCTATATCTTAATTTGTTGTATGATTATCTCAAGATCCAAGAACATCAGGAGAAAGAACATCAACTTCTGAAGGTAAAAAATGATCTCAGAGAAAGTATGTATCAAACAGAGCAATTGAAGAAGCAATTAGAGGCCCAGAATTCAACCCTGGAAAGTGTAGAAACTGAGAAGTTAAAGTTGAGTCAGAAACTTCATGAAAACCTTGAAGAAATAAAATGTGTTACTGAGGAAAGAGATGGCCTCAGAAGCGCAGAGGGAACCCTTAGGATGGAGAGAGACCAGCTCAGGAAAAGCCTCAGAGAAAAAGAAGCTAAAGTAAGTCACTCTTCCTATACTAGTGAGTAAACGTGATGTTTTCCTCACAGCAGTGAGCCATTCTTTGACATAAGTGGCAGTGTTGGTGTGAGTGAACTGATACAGACTTTCAGGCAGGTAATTTGATATTGTTCTAAAAATGTCAAATTCTGTAACCAGTATTTTTTTTGTAGACTTCATCCAACATGTATATTTATATACGTACACAAACACACATACACCACAAGGTTGTTCATTGTAACAATTTGTAATAAAAAGTGGGAAACAATCTAAATGTCCATGAGAAGGAAACTGGGTAAATATGAGTGATATATCAGAATACTATACAACACATAGAAAGAAAGAGAAAGAAAGAAAAAGAAAGAGAGAGAAAGGAAAGAAAGAAAGAAGAGAGAGAAAGGAGAGAAAGAGAAAGAAAAGAAGAAATAGATTTGAATGTCCTAATTTGGAAGCCCAAATCACTCTTAGAAGAAAAAGCAAGCTGTAGAATAGTATATGGATCATGTGTTTGCCTCTCAACAGTAGGAGTAGGTTGTGGGGAGGTGAGGACAGGGAAAGGGAGGCAGGGAAAGCTTATAACTTCCTAACAACAAAGATGTAGAATAAGAAGTAATAGTTTTATTATTTATCCTAAGGAAATAAATCACTTTCAGAAAAAAAAAATACTAGTTAATATTAAGCTGTGTCACCATTCTTAAAATTTCTCTAATGATAAAGGAGCTGGAAAAACAAGAGGAACTAAGAATTGCTTACATGCATGTGAAAGAGCACCAGGAAACTATTGATAAACTCAGAGGCCTTGTTTCTGAGAAGACAGATGAAATATCAAATATGCAGATGGATTTAGAAAATTCAAATGCTAAATTACAAGAAAAGGTATGGAGAATATGCTTGGTTTGGATATTTGATTTATTTGTGTGTAAGCTCCCTTGGGGATGTAAAATGGTTTAGCCACATTGGAAAACATCTTGGCAGTTTTACTAGTGCTGAACATACACCTGCCTGTAGCTCAGCATTTCTGTTCCTTGAGTATGTACCTAAGAGGAAAAAATGCATACTTCCACATAAAGTTATGTACAAGAATGCTCATAACAGTTCTATAATCATAACAGCAAAAAATGGAAAACAAGTAAAATGTCTATCTATAGGAGAATGGATAAATACATTGTGATTTATAAGTTCAAAAACAGGCAAGACTCATCTAGGATGAAAAAGTTCGGAATAGTGTTTAGCTCTAGGAGGGGGGGCATACAGGAACATTGGGGTGCTAGACATGTTTTAAATTTTAGTCTGGGTTATAATTATATAGATGTATACCTACATCAAGAATAATTAAGCTATACACTTAAGATTAATGTACTTATATATGTTATACCCCAAAAGAAAATAAATTTTGTGTGAAATTTTGCAGAATATTAATGAGCAACATAGGAAGACTGTTGTCTTAATCAATTTAGAAACTATCCTTCCCTTAAAAACTGTCTTATTCCTGGGCGCCTGGGTGGCTCAGTTGGTTAAGCGACTGCCTTTGGCTCAGGTCATGATCCTGGAGTCCCGGGATCGAGTCCCGCATCGGGCTCCCTGCTCGGCGGGAAGTCTGCTTCTCCCTCTAACCCTCCTCCCTCTCATGCTCTCTGTCTCTCATTCTCTCTCTCTCAAATAAATAAATAAAATCTTTAAAAAAAAAAAAAAAACTGTCTTATTCCTAACACGTTATTTTATGATTATCTTAAGATTCAACAACTTAAGGCAAATGAACATCAGCTTTTTAAGTTAAAAGAAGATGTCAGTGAGTCACAGAAAAAAATGTCTGAAATAGAGCGATTGAAGAAACAATTCAAGGCCCAAAGTTTAACTATGGATAAAATAGAAATGGAGAATTTAAATTTGGCTCAGAAGCTTCATGAAAACCTTGAAGAAATGAAATCTGTAATGAAAGAAAGAGATAATCTGAAATTGGAGAGAGACCAGCTCCAGGCAAACCTACAGGAAACCAAAGCTAGAGTGAGTTGTGCTCTTTCTACCTATCCAGTAAATGTGTTGTTAATACCAGAAGCTTCCTTCTTATAATACTGTTGGTGAAAATGTAAATGTCACAACCTTTTAGGGAGACAGTTTGACACTGTTTTATTAAAGATTTGTCAGCATATATATCTGCTACAGCGATTCCACCTGTAGTAATTTATCCTACCAATACATTCACACATTTGGACAGAAATACAGCTGCATTCACTGCAACATTGTTACTGCTGACAAAAATCTAGAAGTAATCCAAGTGTCTACCAATAAGGCACTGGCTAAGTAGGGTACATCTGTATAATGGATTTCTAAGCTCGAGAATGGGCCCTTTTTATGTGTTACTGATTTAGAATAATCACCAAGTGGTATGAGAGGGAGGAAAGCAGCGGCAGAGATCACCAAGCAGCCCAACGAGGATGGGGGAGGCTAGGGACAGGGACTTTAGTTTATATCCTTCTGTACGGTTCTAATCTGGGGGCAGTGTGCTGGTTGTTTTGAACTATGAACATGCGTTTTTTAAGATTTTGTTAAGCTGGTTCATCATTAAGGAAAGGTAATGTGCCTTGATATCATGACATTTCTCAATTTCTTCTAATAAAGGATTCGGAGACACAACAGGAACTAAAAATTGCTCACATGCATTTGAAAGAACACCAAGAAACTATTGATAAATTCAGAGAGAGAGTTTCAGAAAAGACAGCTCAGATTTCAAATATTCAAAAGGATTTAAATAAATCTAAAGATGAATTACAGAAAAAGGTATGTGTTGTTTTGTTCTTTGGGGAGTAACTGTCCAAAATCATTTGTGGAATGAGAAAAAATATGGATACAGATATATATAGATAGAGATAATAGATGTACGTATATAGCCAGTAGACACTGTTTTCCTTCCTTGGAGGAATTCTGTTTGCATTCTAACTTGTTTTATAATTATCTCAAGATACAAGAACTTCAGAAAAAAGAGCTTCGACTTCTTAAAATGAAAGAAGATGTCAATAAAACTCATAAAAATATAAACAAAATGGAACAATTGAAGCAGCAGTTTGAGGCCCAAAATTTATCTATGCAAACTGTGGAAATGGATAACTTACACTTGACTAAGAAACTTCATAAAAGCCTTGAAGAAATAAGAATTTTAGCTAAAGAAAGAGATGAGCTAAGAAAGATAAAAGAGTCTCTCAAAATGGAAAGAGACCAATTCAGGGAAACCTTAAGAGAAATGATAGCTAGAGTGAGTTCAGAATCTTCCCTTATTTAGTAACTGTCTATAAGAATCAAGCTTTTTTGGAAAGGGGAATAATTTGGTTTTGTTGTTGTGGGGTTTTTGGGTTTGCTTGGTTTCTTTTGTTTTGCGGGGAGGGGGTTTGTGGGGTTGTTTTTTTTTTTTTCTCTTTTTGGAAATTTCTACAAACAGTAAAGGATGATGGGAAAAGTATTACTATAATTTTTCACACAAATAGAAGATACAGTTTTAAAAGAAGCCAAAATATTTTTCAGAAAATAACATTTTAATTATTTATTTTTAAGAAAAGATTTGTTACATAAAGCAGACCATTTTCTTTCATGTAATTTTTAAAAGGCTTTTTTAAACCAGGAAATGGCATTATCCTCGTAGAAAAACATCTGAAGGACTAGATTTCTCTGCGTCCCCATGACGGAGTTTTAGGCCTGCTCTCTTCTCAGCGGCCAGACACACAGGGGAAGGAACTTCAGGCAGTGTAACTGTCTTTACATGTTCAGAATCACGTCTTAAAAAACCCAGTTGTACCCTCTAGAAAATAACATAAAATTCAGACAAATAAGAAATTGTATAAAATCTAGAAAAATCTTTTTTTTATTCTCATAATTCAACAAGAGTAGAAGACTGAATCATTTGCATTATCAATAGAAACATGTACACTTGGGAACCATCCTTATGTGGACCCTAATGAAATTCATAAAGAAATTTAATTCATTCAACAAATATTTATTAGTCATTCTTCTAAGTACTGTAGTGAATAAATGGGAGAAAACGTTTTGTTTTATACTTCTAATCAAAAAGTACAAAATGTAACAGGATACACATTTTGTGTTCCAAGGTGCTGGGAAGAGTATGAATAGAGATATTTCAGGTGGTTTTGCTAGTGTACTATTTGGCAGCAATTCAGAGACTAATTCTGACTCGGAAACTTAGAATCGTAAGAATCAGATGTAAATCTAATATCTAGTTTTCAACTCTGACAGTTATAAGAATAAATCCCATCTCAAAAAATATGTGGTTCTTCCACATTTTTTCTCAATGAGTTGAGGCCATTCACTACAATACTTAATGGTACTGTTAATCATTTTCTGGCCATTTTTAACTTCGTTTTTGAGTTACAAGCTTATAATTCCATTATTGAAATGATGTGAAAAAATGTAATTGGAAAAGCGTATGGACATTATATGTGAACGTAGTTATAGTTGAAGCCTTGTTTATTTCTTTGTACCAACATAGGACCAACAGAACCATAAAGGGGTAGTAAAATACGAAAAACAGTCACAATGTAATGAAAGACACCACCTCACAGAAAGCCTGAGAGAAAAGTGCTCTAGGATAAAAGTAAGTGCCCTATGTTAAAATTACAAATGAATATTGGTACTCCTCCAAAGGCCTAAATGGAATCCAAGGAACGTCTGTGGAATGAATAAATAGATAATGCTCAATGTTTTTTTAAATTCTATTAATCTAGTATAGGTGTATTAAGCCATATAGCTGGCTGAGGGAAGAACAGGATGAGAAGAAAAAATAGCGAGTACAAAGCTCCTGAGGCAGAAGACTGCCTGGTGGGTTCCAGGAGCATCAAGAAGGGGGAAAGCTAATAAGAAATCAGGTCAGAGAGCTCATAGGGAAGACGCAAGCTGTGGGGCCTTAAAAGATCTTTGGGTTTTAGTCTGAGTGAAATGGAGATCTATTGGAGGGTTTTGACCATGAGAGAGACATGATCTGACTTACATTTTAAAGGGATGACTCTGATTGTTGTGTTGAAAATGGACAGAGTGGAAGCAGGAAGAACATTTGAGAGACTAAGTTCAATAATCCAGGCCAAGATGATGGTGGCTCAGCCTAAAGAAGTATCAGTGGAAACAGTGGGAAATATTTGGATTCTGAATATATGCTGAGGGAAAAGGCCAGCACGATTAATTGTCACTGCTCTCCAAATGCAAGATCCCTAAAGACTTTTTGTGTGTGTTTTTATGTCACTTAGCACATTCCTATCAGAATATGTTTTAAAAGTACAAATGAGTGACTACACAGTGCTGTTCCATATCATAATGTGATTCATACTAAGACCAAAGGCAAGAATCCCCTTTCCAACATCCCAGATGAATGAATAGCTAGCTTTTCCTTAAGTTTTTAAAAAGGAAGCTCATTATTGTCAGCAGCCCCTTGTTCTATTATTTAGCACCCTGAATTAAACATGTTATTTCTTATATGACTAGCAATTTGAACTACTGTGTTCCTCCACCTGTACTTTGACCGGTGTGTCCCCTGTGTGGCCTCTAGTCATTTGAGCTCAGAGGCCAGGCTTACTGAGTGTCTGCCAAATGCACTAATATACCGGATGCTTTGCTTATTGCCCCATTTACAAATGAGGCTTGAAGAGGAAGTTTAATAGGTGCCCAAGGTCACATGGCTGGTAGAATCAGGATTTGAAATCGGGTATAAGTTTAAAACTTGTATATGGAAACATTTTTACAAATATAATTTTATTTCCCTTAAGCCATAATGTCTGTATATATTTTACAGATTACATAGATAGAGATATACTATAATATTTACTTTCCCCTAGAAAACTTTGTGTCAATCATCATTGTGTAGTTGGGAAAATGGCTCAATGATTTCCCTAGTCAGGAAGTAGCAGAGATAGAACCTGAACTCTAACTCTGATAAAAAGTTAGAAAACTCAGATTCTAGGCAGATAAGTAGAAATGTGTAAAGAGGCTTCACCAAACTGGCAAATAGCTAGCTTGATTCTTCGTCACTTGTTTGACCTGCAAACTCACATTGCCTACTGTAAACATGAGCCAGCATTCAGTCTTGAACTATAACACATACTAGATTGAATTCCCTCATATTTATCCTCACTCTTTGTAGATGGTCATTTAATTCATGAATGCTCAGAAAAGTAAAAGAAAATGTATCAAAGTGATAACCGTGGTTGTTTCTGGTTTTCTTTGTTACATTTGTTTAAATTTTTAAAATTTTCACAGTAATTAAATATTATTTCTATAATCCAAAATCAACAATAAGAGTTTCCTTTTTTTAAAAAACATAAAGATCTTAATTTGTTTCTGTAATACAGAAAATGTTAAAGCATAAATTTGGTTACAATTTTAGGGCAAGGATCATAGGGGAAGAGAGGAAAAAATGAAAGAAGATGAACCAGAGAGGGAGACAAACCATAAGAGACTCCTAATGATAGGGAACAAACTGAGGGTTGCTGGAGGGAAGGGGGTGGAAGGATGGGGTAACTGGATGATGGACAATGGAGAAGGTATGTGTTGTAATGAGCACTGGGTATTATATAAGACTGATGAATCACAGACCTGTACCCCTGAAACAAATAATACATTATATGTTAATTAATTGAATTTACATTTAAAAGTAAAATAAATTTAAAAATTAAAAGAAAAAAACAATTCTAGGTCAAGGACTATTTGTTATTAAATCAGGATGAATTGTTAAACTGAATGATTTCTAATTTTCCTTAGGAGCTTCTGAAGAGATACTCAGAGATGTATAATCATTATGAGTGCTTAAATAGACTATCCCTTGACTTGGAGAAAGAAGTTGAAACCCAAAAAGACCTTTCAGTTAGAGTAAAAGCAAACCTCTCACTTCCATATCCACAAATCAAACAAATTCAAAAACTTCTCACTGCAAACCAAAGATGTTCAATGGAATTCCACAGAGTCATGAAGAAACTTCAGGTACTACCTTTTTTAGTAATATCTTTGTAAATATTGCTATAAATTTTAGTTTTAACATCAGTACATTTAAGTCCTACTTTGGGAGTTAGCATATTTGCTATTTAGTGTATTTACTGCTGAATTAAAGACTATGTGCATCTCAGAATAGTATGTGCAGGATCCACTGTGCCTCTAGGACCTGTTCATTCAACAAAACTTGAGCTCTGCCTGTGAGCCTAGATACTACCATCTTGGGGTGCTTGAGAGACAGATAGGAATAATATCTCAGAAATCTCCTAGTCTAGTACATGAGGCAAACATATAAGCAGCTAGTAAGTGTAGTGACAGAAGCACGTGCAGGTTGTATGACAAACCAGATAAAGAATTACAGAAAATGGGATCACAGTAGAAGCTGGACTCAAGCAATAATGCTCAGAGTTCATTTTGCAGGTGATGGGGAGCCCTGGGGCCATTATTTTTAAGTGGTAGCAGTAGCATGATCAGATTACCATTTTAGCTACTTCACCGTAGAAAAGCGATGAGTTTGTGGCAGAGAGAAGAGACAAGAGGCAGTTATAGTTGTCCAAGTTAGATATTACAGGTGACCGTACTACTAGAAAAGGATTCATAGGCACGGGGAGGATAAAAGAAATTAAATATTCAGCAGCTTAAAATAGTAGGTTCACATGATTGATAGTGAGGTAAGGAGGGAGCTGCTTAGATTGAATGCCAGAATTTGGGCGTAGCCAGGTTTGTGGAGAGTGGTACCATTAACTGACAAAAAAGAAAGAGGAGCAAGGCAGGCAAGGCAGGAGAAGCAATCAGGTGTTTAGTTTGAGATGTTTTGAGGTAGAAATACCCATGATGGAGCATTCAAGAAGAAAAACAAGTAGGCACTTATATGAGTCTGGCGTTTGTCTGGAGACAAGTCAGGACTAAAGATAAAGGTTTGGAATTCATCAGCATATACATGCTAGATAATACATGTGTGAGTAAGGTCACCCAGAAAGCATAATAGAAAAATAAGAGCCTTAGGATAAGATAAGAACTCTGGAAAAGATAAATTTTCAAGAGGCCGTAGCAGAAAAGAGAGCAACAAATGGGTTTGAGGTTGGAAATGACAAAGAGACAGGAGAAAATCAAGCAAAAGTGCTATTGCTCAAGTCAGTGGAGGACGGCATGTCAAAGATGAAATGGTCAAGAGTGGCAGATACTTCAGACAGCCAGAATATGAATTGAAGAGATGCCCTCAATTCGTTGATAATAGAGCTTATTGTTGACCTTTGTCAGAGCAGTTTTAATTGAGTGGTTAGGGAAGAGCCAGATTATAAAAGGTTAAGGAGTGGTGGGAGATTGAGGAAGTAGGGAGTTGGTGTCTGTCTTTTCTAGGTAGATTGCCTCTCAGGCCCTGCTATTCTGACTGGCAATCAGATATCCAGAATTTATCCAGGAGGTCCATGGAACATATGGCATTCAAATTATTGTCACCTTGATGTCAAACATCTAACTACATGTGAGAAGTAAATCTTGAGGCTGGTATACCCACACTGATTACCCAACGAAGGTAGGCAGGAGAGGGATGTTGAAAATGAACCTCAGGCGTCTAGCTGGGATACCTGCATGATTGGTGACACAGTTAACCAAAAAGTGAGCAGAAGAGAAATGTGAGTTTATAGGGAAAGAGATTATGTTCCATTTTAACAGTGAATCAGAGGTAATTGTAGGACATCCATGAGGTGTATGTAGCCAGTAGGGAATCCGAAATAAGGAACTTGAAGTCTGGAAGTTATTCTCCCAAGATACTGAGAGGAAAAAATTGGGGATAGAGAGAGGCTCTTTCCTTCTTCCTCATTGACCAGAGGATATAGATAAATAAGATATGCCATCCCACCTCTTTGTCTTGAGGGTTTAAAATTTCCTCTAAATGTGATAAAAGGTTCATTTCCCAATTTGTTTAATGTTTTTCTACAAGTATGTGTTAAGCCATGTTACAAAGATAAAGGAAGAACAACATGAATCCATCAATAAATTTGAAGTAGTTTTTATTGATGAAGTGGAAAAGCAAAATGAACTGCTAATTAAAATACAGCAGCTTCAACAAGATTATGATGTACCATCCAGAGAATTCACGGACCTCAAATTGAGCAAGAATATGGATCTACATATTGAGGTATAGTTTATTTTAAATGGTTTAATTAGATTTTAAGCCTTTTTCTTATATAGAGTAGGTACTTTTGCATGTGCTGAGAGCCATTTTCATTTTCCAGAAATTAAAAATAGGTTGCAGGGTGACCGCTGGCCAGATGTGAAGAGCGCCACGTAATGGATTAGCCAGCAGCTTTTCAGGACTCCACAGATACAGAAAAATAGATTGAGTCCCAATAAGTGGGAATTCATAGAACCCCAGAATAAGTTTCCGAATGCTTTCTAAAATGTCCTAGATCTGCAGCTGGGAGTCAGGAACAATGTTATTACAACAACTCCCCATGGAGTGTCTTGCTCTCACCCAGCAGTGTGAGGCTGGCATCCAGTTCCCAACGTGCATGTAAGGCCTGGGTGCACAGAAAAGCTACATGCAGCAGCACTGCGTATGTGTGATTAGTAGTCACAGATAGTTTTGGTGGTTTTTAATTCTAACAGGCAGAATTCGTAGACATTCCTTACATAGCTTATACTGCCAGGTTTTTATTATTCAAATAACTAGAACAAAGTTTTAAATTAGGATTATATTTCTAATACAACTAAAATAAATTAGAATTGTGTTTATTTCAAAATACTCAAAATATTAAGAATGAGAGTTTAGTAAGGTGTTTCCCCCTTATGTATGATATTTAGATAAAAACTCAATGCTCAGGCGATTGAATACTTATTTTTCAAACAGGAAATTCTCAAAGATCTTTCAGAAAATGACTTCCACTGCATAAAGACTGAATTTCAGCAAGTTCTAAGTAATAGGAAAGAAATGACCCAGTTTTTGGAAGAATGGTTGAATACTCATTTTGATATAGAAAATCTTAAAAATGGCATCCAGAAAGAAAATGATAAGATTTGTCAAGTGAATAACTTCTATAATAACAAAATAATTGTAAGTAGTGATTTTTGTGTGTGTGCTACCTCATTCTTCTTGTTGTTTGCTCTAATTTTTCTACCTTTTTCTTAAAAAAAAGACTTTAAGCAACTTAATCTTAGATATGCGGCTTTGTTTGTATATACTTTATTTTTTTGTTTGAAAAAAATTGGGGGAAAAATTTGGGTAAAACATGTTCTTCCTCTAACATGTTATGTGTGCTTCCTTAAGATAATTAAAAATAGGGCGCCTGGGTGGCTCAGTTGGTTAAGCGACTGCCTTCGGCTCAGGTCATGATCCTGGAGTCCCGGGATCGAGTCCCGCATCGGGCTCCCTGCTCGGCAGGGAGTCTGCTTCTCCCTCTGACCCTCCCCTCTCTCATGCTCTCTCTATCTCATTCTCTCAAATAAATGAATAAAATCTTTTAAAAAAAAAAAGATAATTAAAAATATTCACTTACACTTGTAAAGAAGATAAAATCTTGGGGTGTAATAATCAATTTCCCCTTAGGGAATCTTGAATGCTCTTTCCTTTCTCACTTCTCCCTGCTTCTGGAGAATTTGAGCCATTCCCCCAAGTAGCCTCAGACAGAGTGAGACGAGCCTGTCAGGGCTACAGGCAGCAGCTGTGGCCATGCCATACACAAGCCTGTCCAGCGACCTCACTGAGATGTGCTTTTCTTCTTGGTGGTATCACTGCTTATGCACCCATTCTTCAACTCTGAGGTTCAGAGATGTGGTGTATAGCATTGTTCCCAAAGTGACTGGCTCCATTGTACAGATTCACAAGAACCAACATGGCTTAAGACAAGCTTGTTAGTTTGTTTTACTTTCCACTGATCAGAATATTCATTCTGCTCTCTGAAGTAATCCCTGTCTCATATACCTAGTAAAATATACAGTAGTCAGAAAGTTGCTTGTTGTATATGCAGCTGGAGCAAAGGGAGCTAGATTAATAATAGAGCTTCTAGTAAACATCAAGACAGTATGGTCCTGGCACAAAAACAGACACATAGATCAATGGAACAGAATAGAGAGCCCATAAATGGACCCTCAACTCTATGGTCAACTAATCTTCGACAAAGCAGGAAAGAATGTCCAGTGGAAAAAAAGACAGTCTGTTCAACAAACGGTGTTGGGAAATTTGGACAGCCACATGCAGAATGAAACTGAACCATTTCCTTATACCACACACAAAATAGACTCAAAATGGATGAAAGACCTAAATGTGAGACAGGAACCCATCAATATCCTTGAGGAGAACACAGGCAGCAACCTCTTCGACTTCAGCCACAGGAACTTCTTCCTAGAAACATCACCAAAGGCAAGGGAAGCAAGGGCAAAAATGAACTATTGGGACTTCATCAAGATAAAAAGCTTTTGCACAGCAAAGGAAACAGTCAACAAAACCAAAAGACAACCGACAGAATGGGAGAAGATATTTGCAAATGACATATCAGATTAAGGGCTAGTATCCAATCAGGGAAATCCAAATCAAAACCTCAATGAGATACCACCTCACACCAGTCAGAATGGCTAAAATTAACAAGTCAGGAAACAACAGATGTTGGTGGGGATGCAGAGAAAGGGGAACCCTCCTACACTGTTGGTGGGAATGCAAGCTGGTGCAGCCACTCTGGAAAATAGTATGGAGGTTCCTCAAAAAGTTGAAAATAGAGCTACCCTACGACCCAGCAATTGCACTACTGGGTATTTACCCCAAAGATACAAATGTAGTGATCCGAAGGGGCACATGCACCCCAATGTTTATAGCAACAATGTCCACAATAGCCAAACTATGGAAAGAGCCTAGATGTCCATCAACAAATGAATGGATAAAGAAGATGTGGTACACACGCGCACACACGCGCACACACACACACACTGGAATATTATGCAGCCATCAAAAATGAAATCTTGCCATTTGCAACGACATGGGTGGAACTAGAGGGTATTATGCTAAGTGAAATAAGTCAATCAGAGAAAAACAAGTATCATATGACCTCACTGATATGAGGATTTTGAGAAACAAGACAGGATCATAGGGGAAGGGAGGGAAAAATGAAACAAGATGAAACCAGAGAGGGAGACAAACCATAAGAGACTCTCAATCTCAGGGAATAAACTGAGGGTTGCTGGAGTGGTGGGGGGTGGGAGGGATGGGGTGGCTGGGTGATGGACATGGGGGAGGGTATGTACTATGGGGAGCACTGTGAATTGTGTAAGACTGATGAATCACAGACCTGTACCCCTGAAACAAATAATACATTATATGTTAATTTAAAAAAAAGATCTTCTAAAATTGGTTTCATATTTCATATGTTTGGGTAGGTCCTTTTTGACACTTTAATTTCATCTGAAAACTATACTTAAATCACACTGAAATATAGATAATATTTTTTAAAATATATTTTCCTGTGGATATTCCCATTTGCTGAATACCTCAAGCTAGCAAAATAGTAAATGAGCTGCTTCAAAAAAAAAAAAAAAAAAGTCCACAATCAACAGAGGAAAATCATAAAAACCAACATTTGAATAAGACAATCCCCATAAAATTCAGTGTTTTTCTTGTAATATTGAGGACCTACTTGTGAATAGAAAGTAGGGATTTCTACTGTGTGGATGAGCAGAGATATATGGCTTCTTCCAGCACCTTGAAAATAGGAATTGATAACTTTATACGGTATGAGGTCAGTAGTGCAGAACCAAGGAGAGCCCAGAATGCCAGCAATAACACAACTAATTTAGCATCCAAGTCTGATAGAAGTGCCTTAAGATATAGGTAAAACCAATAAGGCATTAATGATGAAAGCAAAAAGTACATCCCTTAAGAATTAGGAAGTAAAAAGATAATATGAATAATTTCAGAGTTAGCCTTCAGTGTAAAGGAGGGTAGTGATTGAGTGTTATTCCCTGCACAGAAATACAAGATTTTCAGATTAATTACCAAAAGTCAGTGAATTCTTTTCCCTATAAACACTGAGGTTTGAAATGAAACAGGAAAATAGATAGCTGTTAAGTTTACTGGATTTGCTCTGCCATTACGTGTCATTTAATGTTTGTATATGACATTATAAATGTTATAACATATGTAGTGACTTTAACCTGCACAGTTCTGCAGATTTCCGCTTCGTATGTTAGCACTGATCCAATAAAGTGAGATTTATCATCTTGCAAATCAATACAAATCCTCTCCAGTCCTTATTCTTCTTTTAGTCTCATCATCAACATCCAGCATCTTCTGAAATTTCAGGAACTGATGCCAACCACAAAGAATGTTCACATTCTTTTAAATTACTGTTCTAGGATGTCCTAAATAATGAATTTCAGCATATGCCTTGTCCTAGAATTCTAGTAGTTTTCGTAGTATTTTTCATATGTAATTCATTTTAGAGTTATAATGGTGTTTTACTATTCAATAGGCTATAATGAATGAATCTACAGAGTTTGAGGAAAGAAATGCTACCATAGCCAGAGAATGGGAACGTGACCTGAAATCAGTGAAAGAGAAAAATGAACAACTATTTAAAAACTACCAAACTTTGAAGATCTCCCTGACGTCTGGTATCCTTGTTGATTCTGCTACAGAAAACAATAAGAACCTTCATGTTACATCAAGAGCCACAAAACTAACGACAGAGGTATGTGATTTCTTAGAAGATGTTTTTTATTTTGCAAATTGATCAGTTAAAGATGCATTTTATATAACATTTAGAGCAAAATTATAGTATCTAATGTATTAGAGAACATGGACCATGTTTGTGTGTGTGATGGGCTTTTTTAAATTTAGTTCTACTGTGGCTATCACTCAAATAACTATAGAACTATATATATTATATGAGATCTTCCCTTTAAATTATAAAAGAGAAGTAACTCATAGCTTAATTTGATTAAGAGATACATATACTGTGTAAAGTGCTATTACTGTACATTATAAATTTCTTTAATCGTAACTTTTTATTGAACGATAATCTGTCTATTTATAGAACTAGCTTAGAGGGAAAGGGCAATTCAGATTTTCTCTAATTATCATCAAAGTCTTTAATATTGGTTAATGTTATATCAAAATTAAAATGGAAGAGGCTAAAAATATAACAAATATCTTTATGCATATTAACCTGTATCCAAGAATCAATATGTTATTTGAATGATTCAGTTATTTTATTAACTAGCCTTACTTGGGAATTGTGAAGCAAATATGCTATTTTATTTTGTTAGCTCACAAAATGACTTAGTGAAGAACCCAAGAGTAAATTACAATTTATCATTTTTACCAAAATAAATACTTAAAACATCAACCACTAGTTTAATAATCAATTACCAATGGAAACTAGAAGATCACTAGTACAGTTTATTGATTTGCTAATCCCTACAGACCTCAATAGCTGGTGGAGACAAAAATAGCAGAAATACTAAACCCATCTACTGAAGCAATAAAGAAGCAGAAGGAAATTCCATCTTTAGTAATCCCAGGAAATCAGATAATTATTGTATGCTCTTACTCTGATAATTATGACAAATTAGAGTAGCATAGAACAGTTTGGTAATGATACAGAAATAGACAAATAGAGCAGTGGACCAGAGTAGAGTTCCCCAGTACACCCAAGGAGGAGAAATCAGTATTTGGTAATGGTAACTGCCTACTTGGTGGGGAAAAGATGATTTACTTAATGTTTGATTCCAGACAACCAGCTAGCCACTGAGAAAAAATAAATCTGGGTTTCTACCTCACTCACTTAAACAAAAATAAATTCTGGATGGGGCCAAGAAGAAACAGACATTTTCTAGGAAAACCTGTATATGTGTGTGTGGGTGAATAATCTTATAAATATGGACAAATTCAGGTATTTTTTTACTTGCAAAAAACTGGAAATAACCTAGATCTTCATTAGTGGTTGATGGGTTGACTAATTTATAGTACCTCTAAGAAACAGGATGTATGTATCCATGAAAATAAAAAGGTGGAGAGATCTGTATGTGTTGATAATGGAAAGATCTGGAAAATATATTGCCAGGTTAAAAAAAAAAAAAACTGTATATTCAGTATGTTCCTACTGTATGTATGACTGACTGTTTTTATAAATGTGTATTCACAAATGCTAAGATAGGCATAGAAAATTTCTGGAGAGATACACTTGAAAGAGTTCAGTAGTTGCTACAGGGTCAGCTGGGGTTCTGAGACAGGGAAACTTACCTTTTATTATATGCCTTCGAATTTTTCCACATACCTGTATTTAAAAACTAGTTAATAAAAGTAAAGGGAAAGATAGATTATATGCATTACTTAAAGAGTCTGTTAACAAGTGTATTTCCTTTAAGTGGTGTTAATTTAAAATGTGAGTGCCGTTTAATATGCTTAGCACCATACTAACCAGTAAATAAAATATCACTAAACCTTATAATATAAAATTTGGGTCTTTTTTAATCCAAAAATCATCAGCTTCTAAATAAAGAAAATAGCACATATGTAAATTAAGTGACATTTGGTTTCTCTTCTATCCTTTGTTAATACAATCTGAAACATTAATACCTATATATGATCATCTTTGTCTTACATGTATATAATGTGATTCTGCCTGCATGGCACACCTCATATATGTGTGCTTTTTCTAACAGAAAATTCAGGAGCTGGAAACTTCACTACGTGAAGCCCAAGAAAGCGCTAAGCACAAGGAAAGCAAGATTATAAAGATGCAGAAAGAACTTGAGATGACTAATGACATAATAGCAAAACTTCAAGCACAAGTTAATGAATCAAATAAATGCCTTGAAAAAACAAAAGAAATGATCCAAGTACTTCAGGTAATTTAAAGAACTCATTTTATAATAAGAGGGTTTTTTTTTTTTTCTTTTACTGTTGAATTTGGCAGATAATTTGGTTGGAACTCCGATCTTTTACTTGAACTTCCTGTTACTTATGTAATGTCTGAAGTTCAGTCCTCAAGCTTAATAAAGCAAGTGGAAATTTAGAAATGAAATGCAAAAGTGTATTTTCATGTAAAATAATGATTATTTACTATATTCCTAGAAAAATTATTTTTTAAAAGATATATAAATATTCTGTATAGTTTAAAATGTGTATTTTTTAGGAAAAAAGCTTATGTAAGTATTTGCTCTGTATTAGATAAGTACATTTTAAAATTCTTTTTTTTTATTTAATCCCATTATTGAGCCCCACCTGGTAGCCTCTAGGCTGAATCTGACCTGTTTACTTTAGGAAGAACAGTAATTTGTCTTTGACCTGAATGCCATTACACACATCACACCTTCATTCATCACATCCTTACCACTCCTTTTTGTCTTAGCTCCAGCCCTTCTCACACTTCTTTTGCTTGAGTCTGACCCTAATAGTCACTTAAGTTTTCTATCTCTTCATCTCAGTTAGAATTTGGAACAAGTCAAGAATGTCTGCTCCTTTCATCATTTTAACATTGTTCTAAAAGTTCTGGTTCATTCAATAAGACATGAAACAGAGAGGCAATAAAAAACAATCTCAATTTTGTTAAATGTAAAGCTAAAAACCAAGAAAATCAATTGTAAAGCTTTAGAATTTTTGAGAGTAATTATTTTATATATCGAATCACATTTTTATTTGATCAAGATAGATTTGTTGAGTATCTGGTATGTGATGGTCATTGCTCTAGATGTCATGTGTACAGCCATGGAAAGAAATAAATGCCCCTCCTTTCCTCCAAGGAGCTTACATTCTGGTTCAGGAAGAGAGAAAATAAGCAAGTATATATGTGTGTCAGATGGTAAAAAGTATGGTGGGAAAAAATTAAGCTAGACAAGGGTTGTGTGGGTACCTAGTGAAAGTGGGAGCATGAGGGAATCAGATAGGATCTTATAAAGGGGAGCTGAGGAGATGACGTGGGGGAATGGGTGAGCTTTGTGGTAGGGGAAGGGCCTTCCAGGCAAAGGAAAGCACAAATAGTGTAGGTATGTTTAAGAAACAAGAAAGCCAGTGTCTCCTGAGCAGAGTGAGCAAGGAGATAGAGTTGGGAAATAAGGTGAAAAGTAGCAGAGAGTCAACTCATAAAGGGTCTGACAGTCCATTATAAGAACTGTGGTTTTTATTTTGAGTGAGATGTGAAGTCATCAGAGGCAAAAGGATAAAATGATCCGATTTAATTTTTTTAAAGGCTGCTCTTTGAAAATAGAATCCAGGAGGGTGTGTTTGTTAATGTGACATACCAACTGCTACAACAAAGGGACCCAAACTGCAGCAACTCAAACAAGAGGGAGTATCTCATATAAAAGTGTGAGTTCCAGGTTGGCAGGTGGCTCCATTCTGCATGGGCGTTCAGAGGCTCACTTCCCTCCCATCCTGTTTCTCCACCACCCCCTCGGGTGCTGTTTTCATCTGCATGGTTAAAGCCAAGTTATAAACTGTCCATGCCCAGGTTCACAGGAAAGGGACAGATGGAGAAGCGAAAATCATCTTAAAATCTCTAATCTTAAAGACTCTGGCCCAGAAGTGGCGCACATCCCTTCCTCTCGTATTTCTTGGAGTCAGAGATGATTCCGGAGTTTTGGGCTTGAACAACTAGAAGGATGGACTTGCCATTTATGGAGATGGGAAAGACTCTCAGAAGAGCAAGTTTTTGAAACTATGGGAGCTGAATCAAAACTAAGTTTTGGACATGTTGAATTTGAAATGGCTATTGGGGACCCCCATCTTGAGATATGACTGAAGCAGTTGTATGTATACGTAAGTCTAAGAGAGATCTAGACTTAAGGTATAAATTTGAGGAATTGTCGGCATATAAAAGTCATGAGACCGGATGAAGACATGAGCATAATGGGGAAGAGATAAGGAGTAACCAAAAGATACCAAGATGGAGCAGCCAGTAAGTTGGCGGGAAGGAGGTACAACATAGAGTGCAGACAGCGGTTACAATTTCTTCACAAAAGTGAAGAAAGTGTTTCAAGATAGGAAGTAAGCAACAAATTTCTCCACATTCTGTGTAAATTGATCCAGGCATCTATGGAAAGATAAATATCTTTCCTGCATACCAGAAATAACTTTCTGGGTTATGGCATTATATAACACCTATAGGGAAAGAAAGCAAAATACAGATTCATAAAATCTTTTTACCATTTGAGTTTTTTTTTCATTTGCTTTTCGGTATTATATAAACATTCTATAAAATGCAACAATGTATTTAACTCAAGACTTGGCATAAGAAAAAACTTTTAACCTATTCACCACTATTTGAAAACATCTTGGATATAGCTGTCCAATATAATAACATCAGGTTTGTTAATTGAATAGAGAAGAAAGTAATTTGAACAAATGAATCATTAACAATTTTGTTTAAATCTTGATACATTTCCTCTGTTATATCATTACAAATTGTTTCTATAAAGTAGCAGTGAATAGATCAAAAATTTAAACTGCAGTAGAACTTTATGGACATCCTGCATGAGGAGAAAAAAAAAGATCTTATTTATAATGGCCACAAAATCTAAAATAAGATGATTGAATGACTAACCTTAACAAAAAATGAGGGCAACATATATGAAAAGAAAAAAAACTTTAAAAAGAAATATAGGATAACATGTGGTTTATAAGAAATACACCATTTCCTAGGTGGAACCTAAATATAATCCTAACTTTTTCCCAAATTAATTCCTAAATTTCATGTAATTCAAATCAGAATTTCAAAGGAATTCTTTTTCAGGGAGAGCCACTAAAGTTTCTTAACTGAATCTGTCTAAGAATGCAGATGATAAGTAGGTGATGTTAACCAAGAAATTTATGTTTGCAGTCTTTTCAGTTTATTAGTAAAACTAAGACCGTCAGCATTTCTTGAGTGCAGCTTTGGTCACATACCATATATTTGAAATAGGGAATTCTGTTATCTTTCATTTCTAATTCAGTATTTTCAGTTTTGATTTCTTTTACATAAGAATGTTTTAAGCAATGTTATATATGACTAATTTATTTCATTATATTGTGGCAAAAAAATAATCTCTGCATTTCTAGAATATATTGAAACTTTCTTTTTAGTGTCATAAATGGATACCTTTTTTTTTTAGAGTTCTTTGAACTTTTAAAATAATATATAGACAAATAGATCAATGGAAGAGAATAGAGAACTTAGAAATAGACCCACACAAATGCAGTCAACCAATCCTTGACAGAAGAGCAAAGGCAGTTCAGTGGAGAAGGATAGTCTTATCAACTAATGATGCTGAGACAAGTGGACTTCCACAAACAGAAAACAAATCTTGACACAGACCTTTTCTATTCCACAAAAATTAACTCAGTTGATCAAAAATCTAAATGTAGGGCGCCTGGGTGGCTCAGTTGGTTGAGCAACTGCCTTCGGCTCAGGTCATGATCCTGGAGTCCCGGGATCGAGTCCCGCATCGGGCTCCCTGCTCGGCAGGGAGTCTGCTTCTCCCTCTGGCCCTCTTCCCTCTCATGCTCTCTGTCTCTCATTCTCTCTCTCAAATAAATAAAATCTTTAAAAAAAAAAAAATCTAAATGTAAAACATAAAACTAGAAAACCCTCAGAAGATAAGATATAGAAAATCTAGGTGACCATGGGTTTGGTGGTGACTTTCTAGATACAATACCAAAAGCACGATCCATGAAAGAAAAAATTGGTAAGTTGGACTCCGTTTAAATTAAAAATATCTGCTCTGTGAAAGACAGTTAAGAAAATAAAAAGACAAGTCACAGACTGGAGGAAAAAATTTTGCAAAACACATATCTGATAAAGAACTGTTGTCCCAAATATACAAAGAACTCTTAAAGCTCAATGATTTAAAAAAAAAAAAAAAAAGCCAATTAAAAAATAGGCAACGGTTCAGAGCAGACACCCCACCTAAGAAGATATACGTGTGACAAATAAGCATATGAAAAGATTCTCAGCATCATATGTCATTAGAGAAGTACGAAATACCACTACACACCTATGATATCTCAAAACGCCACAATGGCCAAAATCCCAATCACCACACTAAATGCTGATGAAGAGGTAGAGCAATAGGAGTTCATTGCTGGTAGGACTGCAAATGGGACAGCCAGTTTGAAAGAGAGTTTGGCAGTTTCTTACAAAACTGCCAGCACTCCAGCCAGTCACGTGCTCAGGGAGTCCCCAACATCAGCATCTGACTCAGAAGGTAGGGTACTGAACTGGTGCTGTGACTAAGCAAACAGTGGGCTCCTCTAAGAATGGGCTTATCTTACCCAGTCATCCATCTCCTCAAGCTGAGCATCTATCATTTTTGGAGGTTTTGCATCTTTTTAGTCTTCGCTAGCCATAGTGTGCGTGTAAACGTTTCTGTGGGAGTTGGGTTGGGAAAGCCTGGAGGACTAAAGAGAGCTCTCTAGGTTCCTATTTAGACGGGTTTTATTTTTTGTTCAGTATCTAATTCTTCATTGTATGGTTGTGGTACAGCGATACAAAGAAACAAGTGATTTATTCAACAATAATAAGAAATGAGCTATCGAGCAGCAAAGACATGGATGAACCTTAAATGCACACTGTTAATTAAAAGAAGCCCATCTGAAAAATGATTCCAACTATATGGCATTCTGGAAAAGGCAAAACCAGAGAGACAGTAAAAAGATCAATGATTGTCAATGGTCCAGAAGGGGTAAGGGAGGGAAGAATGAATAGGTGGAACGGGATTTTTAAGACAATGAATCTATTCTGTATGATATTGTAATTATGAACTGTGTCATTGTACATTTGTCAAAACCCCTAGAATGTACAATACAAACAATAGACCCTAATGAAGTCTGAAATGTATCAATATTGGCCCATCATTTGTAACAAATATACCACACTAAAATGTGATGTTTAACAATAGTGGAAATAGGGTGGGGAGGGAGATGGTGCACGACAAGGGTATATAGGAACTCTGTACTCTCTGCTCAGTCTTTCTATAAACCTAAAGTTGCTCTAAAAAGTAAGTCTATTTATAAAAAAGGGTTTAAATATATGTAAGTGTGTATTTACATATGATTTTTTTTTTCTCTGAGTAGAAAGTAGTTATATTTTCAGCACCGGATTGACCATCTTTGAGTACAAATATGCCAGGAACACTTTATAATACTTTGAATTCAGTTCTAGTTTGATATTTATATTCCCATTCTGACATCTTTTTGTTTCATTTTCCTGATTTACCTTTGTCTACCCATTATTTTCAACCTTTCTATTTCATTTTGTTTATATCATTTTTAATTGGGAAAAAATTTGTTTTAGGAAATGAAGGGGCGCCTGGGTTGCACAATAGGTTAAGCGTCTGCCTTCAACTCAGGTCATGATCCCAGGGGTCCCGAGATCAAGCCCCACATCAGGCTCCCTGCTCAGTGAGGAGTGTGCTTCTCTCTCTCCCTCTGCCTCTCACCCTGCTCATGCTCTCTCGCTCTCTCTCTCAAATAAAATTAAGAAAAAAAAAAAATGAAGGTCATGTATTCTCAATTACATATTAGCTTCCAGTAGTTTCATGTATACTTCACAGCAAATATCTACTTGTTTATTTTAGGGTTAAATTTCATTCCTTTTCTGCTTTTCATATATTTGCAGTCTGCTGTTTTAAAATGTTCCTACCAAGGGCGCCTGGGTGGCTCAGTTGGTTAAGCGACTGCCTTCGGCTCAGGTCATGATCCTGGAGTCCCTGGATCGAGTCCCGCATCGGGCTCCCTGCTCGGCGGGGAGTCTGCTTCTCCCTCTGACCCTCCCCCCTCTCATGTGCTTGCTCTCTCTCATTCTCTCTGTCTCAAATAAATAAATAAAATCTTAAAAAATATATATATACACTTTAAAAAAATAAAAATAAAAATAAATAAATAAATAAAATGTTCCTACCAAATCAAGGTAGTTAACAGCTCTTTAAAACTGCTCTGAAATTATTTTATTTTTCTTTTCTCTAAAAAATTTAGGACAAAGTTGCTTTAGGAGCTAAGCCCTATAAAGAAGAAATTGAAGATCTCAAAACGAAGCTGGTGAAAATAGACCTAGAGAAGATGAAAAATGCCAAAGAGTTTGAAAAAGAGTATGTCTTTGCCTTAACTGAACATGACTTTAATAGTTTACGTTTCGGGGTGCCTGGGTGGCTCAGTCATTTAAGCAGCTGCCTTCGGCTCAGGTCATGATCTCGGGGTCCTGGGATCGAGCCCCGCATCAGGCTCCTTGCTCAGTGGGGAGCCTGCTTCTCCCTCTCCCTCTGCCTGCCGCTTCCCCTGCTTGTGCTCTCTCTCTCATTCTTTCTCTCTGACAAATAAATAAATAAAATCTTTAAAAAAAAAATAGCTTAATTTTCCCTTCTAAATTTTTTGCATTGGTTAACTTTTTAAAATATATGGAAATATTGTTACTGTTTTTTAAAATAAATACATCCACAGATTTTAAACTTGCTAAATTATCATTACATCTGCAAAGTTTTTAAAAATCAGCATAGTTATGGTCAATTATTAACACACTGTGTCTTGATGCTTCTTGCTGTCTTACATAAACAGCTTAAAAGTGGCCTTTTTATGCTTGAAAATGAATGTTAAGAACCTGTATATATGTGCATCTGTCTGTGTTTAGCACTTCAACTAAGATTTTGTTGGTTCTCTTAATTTAATTTGTTCTTCCTATTGTGTTTTTGTGTAAAATTGTATTTCCTCTCAAATTACGGTACCTAATACCCAAAAGCATGACTTCTTTTTATTTATATATACTGTACATAATGCATGTCTAAAGTTCTTTATGATATAGCATAATGAAAGAATATTAAACAGAGACAGCGAATTAGAAATATAATATTGACTCACCTCACATATAGGCTGTTTAATCTCTGTGGTCTTTGCATTCATAATCACTAAGGATAGGTTTGTATTAGATGATTTCTTAAGATTCCTTCTGACTCCTAATGCTTTTTGGTCTTCCTGTAAATATTTAACAATGCCTAATTTGCCCAAAAAGTAGCACTCTGAAGCTTCATGCATTCTAACCAGCCTTCCATTGATAAGACTGTTGGTTTTAGTGAAACTTATACCTATCAAGTTCTTCATTATAAAAAAGCAGTTTTAGGGGCACCTGGGTGACACAGTCAGTTAAGCGTCCCAACTCTTGGTTTTGGCTCAGGTCATGATCTCAGGGTCCTGAGACCAAGTTCCGCGTTCAGCTCAGCAGAGTCTGTTTGAGTTTCTCTCTCCCTCTCTCTCTCTGGCCCTGCCTCCTGCACTCTCTGCGTGTGTCTCTCTCTCAAATAAATAAATCAATCTTTTTTTAAAAAGGCAATTTTACGTATCAAATAGAATCAGCAGATACTTTCAGAGTCTCTAAAGACAGAAAGTCTCATGATTTATCACTGCTGATTAACACTTAAGCCAACAATTCCTAAAATGTCACTTTCTGCTGGGGAACAGTGAGCAGAATTTTACCTTTGTATCACATTAGACTAGAGCTGCACCCAGGGTTTGCTTCCCTGACAAGGTAGAAATGGATAGGAGTTCTTTTTACTTTTATGCTCTGGTAATTGTATCTGATTAATAGCTACTGGGCTTCCAGAAATTTAAAAAGAATTTAAAAAAATTACTCCTGCAACCAAACAGAATACTTCCAATTTAAGGGTGTTATAGCTATAAAATATTTGATACTGGGGGGTATCTACTGCCACTTACAGGTTTTATGTCAGTGTGATCTATCTTACTAGAAAATTCTTGATAACAGTTCTGTTTATTCTTCCATTATAATTAGTTGCAAAGCTTTTACATGTTTCTGTTGCTGTTCTTATTAGAATTACTTCTACAAAAGCCACTGTAGAATATCAAAAAGAAGTTATAAGGGTACTGAGAGAAAATCTTAGAAGAAATCAACAAGCCCAAGATACCTCAAGTAAGTAGAAAATGCTGATATTTCCAGATCCTTTCCATTTTATTTCTCAATACATGTAGACATTTTGAAGACTATGATATATGTGGTGGTCAAGAATAAACCTGTTAACCACTAATTTAGAAAAAACTATTTTTGAAATGAATTTATTGAGATCATATTTATCCTGTGACATCTCCTTAGTTTCCTGTAATCTCAACTATTTATCCATTATAGATTCTTAAAAAATAAGAATTTTACCTTTGCATTATCAGATCTTTACATATGAGAGAAGATATCTTCAGTACTATAAAAGAACACTGTAACTATCAAGGTAGAAGTACCCTTCCCAGTAAAAATACAAACACATTGTAGTAGATTTTAACCATATGCGCAGTAAAAATACAATCAGCACGCAGTAGAAATAAGGAAATAATATCCTACATGTTCTTAGTACTGAAAATAGAGTTGATGCTTACTTGCAAACTCTTTCAAATTTATCTTACAGTTTTCAAATCTAATGATCAAATTTCTGCTTATGCATTCCTCAACCTGTTCCTTTTTCCATATTACTGTCTCTTCTGTTTCATTTGAAAAGAGAGGATGCTGAACAGTACTTGGGACAGCTTTGTGTAGTAAACAAGCAGTGAACTAAGGCCAGGTCCCCCTCACTTCATGGCTATATGAAATCATGGGAATAATACCCGACCTCCTAGCTTATATATATATATATGTATTGTAAGCATCAAACTGAAAGTTGTGTGTGGAAGCACACTGAAAATTCTAAATGTCAAACCAACATAAGGTAAGATTTGTGTGTATTATTATCCACTCATTAAAAAACAAAAATGAGATAGTGTTAAAGTTGTCTCATACATGTTTGGCCCGAACTTCTCTAGTGTCTGTTGCAGAAGTGCATCCTTACCTGAAACACTTCCAGGGATAAAACTGGAAATGAGCATGCTTTGTTGTCACAGAAAGGTCAGGACAATTACTCTCAATGTGTGGCTTTCAGGTACATACTGTATCTGAACTCAGAGTAATTCAAAAGAAAATGGACACTGAGTATCTTCCCCCCACACAGCGTACCTTTTGTAAAGTATCAGTTACTCAGTGGATTATTCTACTTTATAAACGCCTCACATGCAATTTTACAAAACAGTTCCTTACCTTGGCTTCACACATACAGTGTAGAATACTTAATAAAATATGCTTTAGTATCATTCTGAGTTTTATTTAGTTACCAGGTACGTGTTGAGGACTTACAGCGAGCACACTGAATGACTGGTGGTGGACCCCACACACACATTCTGTGCTGGAAGAAGCCCTCCCGTGCGTCCCCTGATGCAGAGGAGAGAGCAGTGAAGGACAACACTAACTGGGGGGGTTGCGGCTGCCGCCGTCGTAGTGGGAGAGTCCAGCCAGCAGCGCCGAGCTGGTGAAGTTGGTGGCTGGAGAGAAGCGGGAGGACCCTAGAGACGATTAGAAGTGTTGATCAAGTAGGCTTGGGAAGGGAGGTAGAAGGAGGAAGGAAGGATGGCTTCTGGGACATGGTGATTGAGATGTTCTGGTTTCTGCAGTGACTTATGGCTCTTCGTCATGTTTCTTTATTTTGAACTTTGGAGATAACGAAAATCATCAGCTGTTTGTGTCTTTGCCTCCCTCCCAGTTGTATCAGAGTGTACGGACTCGCAGCCTTCAAATAAACCCTTAACTTGTGGGGGTGGTAGTGGCATCGTACAAAGCACAAAAGCTCTTATTTTGAAAAGTGAATATATACGGCTAGAGAAGGAAAACTCCAAGTTAAAGGAACAAAATGAACAGCTAACAAGGCAAAAGAGTGAACTCTTAAGGTAAGATCTGCTTACGTGATATCGAAATCATGCTTCTGGCTATTACATGTGGGGAGCTTAGTGTATACACCTCCATACCTGTTTTTTGCAGTTGGCAACCCTTCACGCATACGGGGAAAGTGATTTTTAGACTATGTGTAATAAATGTTTTTTTTAAAAGGATAAGACTGTAGTACCGCCATTCCAGATGTTTGCTATCTATCAATTGACCCATTTTTAACGAAGCCAAGAAATAGGAAGTGAACAAAAATCTTTGAGGGGTAGTTTAAACAGACCACAAGTCTGCATACCCAAGTCAAAGGAGAATTCCTTAAGTCCATTATTGTAGTCTATTTGCTTTTACTTTATAAACAGTTCTAACAAATTTATATTTGGCTTCTATCGAAGATTAGAATCTTGTGCCAAGCACTTTAATGATACAATAGAAGAAAAATAGGCATTAAACAAATAACTATACAAACAACTAATTTTTTGCAACAAGTGCTATTAAACAGCAATAACAAAAAAAACACGAATAGGACCTTATCTAGGTGTGGGGAGGAGTGATGATGAAGAAACTGAAATAAGAGTAGCTGTGGAAAAGGGCAGGGGTTAGGCCAGATGAAAGGAGAGACTGGTAAGCCTTTTAGGCAGAGGGTGACGTGTACACAGGCTTTCGGTCAGGAAGAATAACCAGTTGGTGGAACTGAAAGACGTACAGTGTGGCCAGAGCACAGAGAACGAATCTACTGTGTGAATAAATTCAGGAGTTGTGCAGACTTACCGTCTCTCTCTCTTTTTTTTTTCCTCCTATATTCAAGCAATAATCGTCATCTTTCCAACGAGGTCAAAACATGGAAGGAGAGAATCCTTAAAAGAGAGACTCACAGAGAAGTTAGTTGTGAGAATTCTCCTCAGTCTCCTAAAGTGACTAGAACAGCTTCCAAAAAGAGGCCGCATACGCCTTCTCAATGCAAGGAACGGAATTTACCAGATCCTGTGCCAAGGGAATCACCGAAGTCTTGGTTTTTTGACAGCCGATCAAAGTCTTTACCAACACCTCCTCCAGTTCGCTATTTTGATAACTCCGGTTTAGGCCTTTGCCCCGGTACGTAAATATACTGGTTCTTTGGAAATCGGGGGAATAACTGTCAGAACTTATCTTTAATTTGTGGCCCCAAAGGACAAGGTTAGACAAGATATAGTTGAGCAGGCTACAGTGCACAGACTTCATTTGGCATTTCTGTTGTGAGAAATTTTCTCCAAAGCACAGCACTAAAGTCCATCATTTTTTATCCCAAGTTAAGTCTTTATTCTGCCTCTTAAACCTTCAACTTTTCCTTAAGATCGATAAGCAACCCTCTTAAAAACATGAAGACGCTACCCTATAAACAAAACTTTCACTGAAGAAGCCTTTCTTATCAATGCACTGGGCCAGTATTTCCAATAGCATTATATTCATTTTACACAAGCCAGATCATAGACTTGTTTCATTTACTTATTAATTCATTCAGTCAGCAAAAAATTTTGGTCTCTAACTATGTGTCAGAGATGAGACCCTGATGGTACATTGATAACCAAAACCAGACATGGTCCCTACCCTACAGAAGCTTACAGTCTATGAGGAGATACACAGAGTAATCAAGTAGTCAAAAAAAAAAGGTAAAATTCTAGAATGTAAGAGGCTGTGAGGCATATAACAGGTTTTTTGTTTCAGGAATATTAAGGAAGTCTTCCTTGAAGAAGGAAGCTGAGATCTAAGAGTTTGATGTGAGTCAGCTTAACAAAGAGGGGCAGGAGAAGTATCTCAGGCAGATAGAACAGTGAGGACGGACCGTCAGCAGGGGAAGGGCTGGAAGGAAGCTGGTCAGAGCACCGTGAGCACGAGCTGCTACGGATGGAGGGAGTGAGGCCAAAGAGAAGAGCCAGGTGTGGGGAATTTGTACATTGTATACAGGAACTTTTACTTTATCCTGAAAGCATACAGAGGAAGGCTTTGAAAGATTTTAAACCACATGATGGGTGAGATCATAATGAGTTATAAATTTTGAACACACCACCTTAGCTATATGGTAACCAACAAATAATCGGAGCAAGAGTTGATGGCAATTGTCCAAGCAAGGGGTGATAGTAGCAGGGATGTGAGCAGGTAAAGAGATGGAGAGAAGTGGACGGACCAGACCAGCGAGATGTGGGAGTAAAATCAGCAGGGCGAGGCTCCTGTCTGGTCGGAGGGAGGCAGTGTCAGGGGTCACCCCCAGCTCGGCCCGGGTGCCGGACACAGAGGTGTGGAGCATTGGCGGAGAGGCTCTGGAATACGGCGCTTCTTGTAGGTCTCACCACACAGTGCGGATCACGTGTCCATGTAACAGCGCATTTGCCTGCCAGAAATGCCCTTAGTCGTAGAAGTCTAAAGCAACAAAATTGTATACTAAGAGAGGCAGCTGCCAAATCATTTTTGGCCCAAGCGAAGGTAGCCAGGGTTTGTGGAAGTGGACGGACCAGACCAGCGAGATGTGTGACATTAGAAGAAATCAGTCCATTCTCATCAACCGCACATCAAAATTGGGTCAAGCCAGCAGTCTGGAAGTGCTCTTAGGGATACAGGAAGGCACCAAACAATTCGAAAAAATTTCTCAACTGTTCACTTTATGGAATAGTATTTAACAAACATTTAAGGACCTTTCATTAGCTAGCACTTACATGGAATTTTTGCTGTATATACATACACACTATTTTAAAAGAGTCTTTTGAAAAACTGAGAAACTTCTTTTAAGATTTTATTTGTTTATTTGAGAGAGAGAGCATGCGCACAAGCAGGTGGAGGGGCAGAGGGAGAGGGAGAAGCAACTCCCTGCTGAGCAGGGAGCCCGTGCGGGACTCGATCCCAGGACCCTGGGATCATGACCTGAGCCGAAGGCAGACGCTTTACGACTTAGCCACCCAGGGGCCCCAAAGATTTTATTTATTTAATTGACAGAGAGACACAGCGAGAGAGGGAACACAAGCAGGGGGAGTGGGAGATGGAGAAGCAGGCTTCCCGCGGAGCAGGGAGCCCAATGCAGGGCTCAATCCCAGAACCCTGAGATCATGACCTGAGCCAAAGACAGACGCTTAACTGACTGAGCCACCCAGGCGCCCCAAAAAACTGAGAAACTTTTAATCACCTTTCAATTTTATCTGATCCTGCCAGAGACACATGCATGATATAAATTAATTCAACCACAAATAGAAATGCTTAAGTGTTTTTATCAATATATGGATCACTCTGGTACTATTTTTAAATAAAAGAGTAGGTTGGAAGAATATATGAATCAAAAACTGACAAATTCAGGGGTGCCTGGGTGCCTCAGTCAGTTGAGCATCCACCTTCAGCTCAGGTCATGACCCCGGGGTCCTGGCATCGAGCTCCCTCCCTTATGGGGCTCTGCTGCTGAGTGGGGAGCCTGCTTCTCCCTTTCCCTCTGCTGCTTACCCTGCTTCCCCTGCTTGTGCGCTTCCTTGCTCTCTTTCTCTCTCTCTCAAATAAAATCTTAAAAAAAAAAAAAAAAACTGACCAATTCAGAATTAAAGGAAATAGACCCAGCCAGAATTAATAAAGTACTAGTCAAAAAGAATTTTAATGTTAGTTTTTAATTTGAATTATAAACGATAACTTAAATTTTCTCAACAACTTGAGATAATTGCAAAGACCGGGTATGTGAGATTTACTTTAATGAATATAATAATTTGAAAATGAATATTGTTTATAAACATAAATGCAGTTGAAGTGCTTTCTAAGAAGGACAAAACAGTCTCCAAAATATATACTACTTATTTAGCACATCATTTTTTTCCCTAAAATTAGGGCAAAGGAAAATTAGACTCAATCTGTGTTTGATTCACTTTGAATCTCAAACTGATGAATTTCAAGTGACACTTTATTATTTCTTGGTTTTATATACAAAATGGCTTCTCTAACAGTTGATTTTTTGAGAAAATGGGGAATAAACTTCTCCACCTCTGATGAAATGAAATACACCTTTTTAATGACCAAACATGGGAGGTTAATGACCGTATTGTCATTTTTCATTCTTCATATCTCTGTCTTAACATCGTTTCCATTTCCAGTTGTATTCAAATTGTGTGTGTGTGTGTGTGTTTTAATAAGATTACCTTTGGGGGTTTTTGCTTGTTGTTTTTCCTCAGAAGAACAAACTGCTGGAGCAGAGAGCGTGAAGCCTCAGCCAGCTCCTTGGCACGCCTCCTCAGGAAAAGATGCGCCCGAGTGCAGGACACAGTAGACTCCGCTCCTGTCACTTTTCCGGGGGCCCAGCATTCCCTGTTTGGAAATGGCTGCATTTATTACTTCAAGTGCCTATCCCTGGCAGTGTTGTCACAGTCCAACTTAATTTCAATTCAGTTTTCATTTTGCCACTAGAATTGGAAGAGGAAGGAATAGGAGATTAATGCGTTCCAGTAATTTAGAATGGTGATAGCAATGGCTTCTTGAATGTGGTAATACTTTACAAGTTGAATTGTTTTATTTATTTATATATTTTGTAAAGAATAAAATTATTGAAGGAATTTTCTAGTCTTTCCATGTATACATAAAATGTATTCATTTTTATTAATGTAATGTTATCCACCTATGGCTTAGATACTCCCCAGGCATTATGCATACATTAAAGCATCATTTAATTAACAAAATTATAAACTCCTTTTTAAGTACCTTGAACATTCGATAAATGTTTAATTAGTGGTTCTGAATCACAATTCTATGTGACAGTAATTAATGGTTTCTTGGTGGGTGGTACTCAGCGTATATTTGGCTCTACTTGTTTGTTGACTTACAGAATTTTGCTATGAGAATGTATACATGCTTTCTGGATTTAAGTTGCTAAGTTTAGCAAACTGCTATGACCTCTTCATTTTCTAGGCTAATCTTTCTTTTGCTATAATAAATACAAAAATTCTCTCTCGCTTTTCTGTTACCCACCAACCCCCATACAAGCACTCTAAATTGGTTGGTTTGTTATCAGACTTTGTACTCTACTACATTTTACTACCAGCTGGAAGAACTTCATGGACCATTTATTCTATCCTTTTATTTCAGACATGAGGAAACAGCACCAGAGTTTCTATCAAAGTAGAAGAAGTCTTCTAAACCCAGAGTCCCCACAGATACATAAGACATCTATGGATGGGCTTCATGCAGTCTGTAAAACCTCTGAAACTTTATGTTAATTTGTTAATTTTGTCATTTTTCTAGGATACTTGGATCCATACTTTTATCATATTCTTAAAGGGATCTTTGGGTGATGTTTCTTTTTTTTTAAGATTTTATTTATTTGTCAGAGAGCGAGAGAGCACAAGCAGGGGTGGGGGGAAGCAGGCATAGGGAGAAGCTGGCTCCCACTAAAAAAGGAGCCCAATGCGGGGCTTGATCCCAGGAGCCTAGGATCATGACCTGAGCCAAAGGCAGATGCTTAACAGACTGAGCCACCCCGGCATCCCTGGGTGATGTTTCTTTTGTGTGTGTGTGCACCTTCTGATTTTTTGCTGAGTTTTATCCATTTGAAAAAGCAGCCACCTCTTCTGGTCTACAGACTGCTTCATACAGAGAAAGATTTTTACCTGTCAGCCTGGTTAGAGATCCTGGGGATCTCTGAAATCTTTTTTAGGGGGATGTGACCTCTGGGCTGTGGGTATAATTTGCCAATTAGAGAAGTTTACCAATTTCTTTTCTAGGAGCTGGATCTCTTGCTCCCTCTGGTGTCTGTCTTCACTACAGCATGTTCTTGCAAATAAGAAGCCACCCTGCTGTCCTTTGTTCTCATTGGCCCCCAGGCATCCAAAGTATATCAGCTCTCCATTAGCACCCCAGGTAGGCAAGACAAATATCAGTCTTGGACAGCCCTCCAAAAAGTTGGAATACCAAGAACATGCTCCACTCTTCTCCCTCTCTCCCAACTATGCTGAACCACTCCGGCCTCCGTCTGGGGCACTGCAGGCCCTCCAGTGTCAATTAATGCCGGTTCCATCAGCACTCTAAGTCAGGCAAGACAGAACCCAGTCCTTTGGGCTTCCATAGAAAAAGTCAGAACTTTGGGTTAGTTTTCCACTCTTCTCTTTCCCCCTACTCCCCTGGGGAAACGAGGAGCCAGAGGCTGAGCTGTGCTGACTTGGGCAAGGGGTGCGGTGGGTGGAGCCACGGGTAAAGGGAAATGACTCTTCTTGCCCACTTCAGTGCAGCTGTTCTCAGCTCTCCCCTTACCTAGGGTCCTGTGACTTCTTAACTGACTTAAGTTCTCATAAAGGTATTTTAGTCTGTATATTGTTTTAAATCGGTGTTTCTGTGGGAGGAAAAGGTGGGACTTTCTACTCCCCCATGTTGTCGACATCTCCCTCAGAAATGTTGCTTCACTCTTAATGATCTGGGGTTTCAATATCATGATAAATGGCTGTGAAGAGACAATGATGAAAGTCAACAATGAAACATGCAAAAATGGTAAAAAGCAGTAATATGGTCAGACAACACTAAAATGGTCTGAAAAGTAAAGTCAAAGTAGACAAATAGATTATTGTTCATAGGAAATATTTTCTGGAGAGCCTGGCAAAATTATATCCAGGAAACCTATTGAGAGCCTACCATTCATACTCAGCAAATATTTAATGGCTGTTTACTGTGTGCCAATCACTGATCTAGGCACCAAAAGTTACTGCCTTTGTGAAATTTATGTTTGGTTGAAAAACAAATATAATATGTGCTGACTGCAATATAAGGGTGAAAAAGATATAGTCCCTAGCCTCGAAGAAATCTACTCCATGGAAAATATAGATGGGTGAGCAAATTTTTGCAACCCCACGTTACTTAGGCTGTCAGAGTCGACATTACTGTTGGAAATCGGGACAAAGGAAGGCTGAAGAAAGCTGCACCAAGGAAGTAGTGTTAGACTTGGCCTTGATTAGAGAATCCTCATATCCATCAAAAATGTATTCTAAAATCCTCAAAAGTTGGGCACCTGGGTGGCTCAGATGGTTAAGCGTCTGCCTTCGGCTCAGGTCATGATCCCAGGGTCCTGGGATCGAGTCCCGCCCGCATCGGGCTCCCTGCTCCTTGGGAGTCTGCTTCTCTTTCTCTCTCTCTCTCTCTCTGTCTCTGAAGAATAAATAAATAAAATCTTTAAAAAAAAAATCCTCAAAAGTTAAAGACATTGTTACTAAAGCAAGGAGCACAGCTGGGTGTCATTAGAGATCATTAGACTCCGTTAGAAGCTACCCTGGGCAATGAGGGACAGTCTTACCAAAGACTTTATGTGTGTGTGTTTATATATGCAGAAATTAGAGATTTTTTTCATCCATTTTTGCCATCTACTGTAATTGAATTTTAATAATCATTCACATTTATTAAATGTAATCAATGTGCTGGTAGTTGTGAATGCCTAGTCCTTTCTCCTCACATGCATGAGGCAGGTGCTATGGTTACCTTCTTTACAGATAAGAAAACTGGGGCTTGGAGAGTTAAATGATTTACTCAGCTAGCAAACGACATGGGACTTATCTTCATCTTTCTGACTGCACAGTCTTTGTTCTGAACCACCATGACCATTGTGAATATACTTCGCTCCAAAGACAAAAACCTGGGGGGAAATGTGATCCAAAGAAGTTACTTTTTCTCGGCTAAGAATCTCAGGGCGGGGATGGGCGTGGTGCCTGGGTGGCTCAGTGGATTACCCATCTGCCTTCAGCTCAGGTCATGATCCAGGAGTTCTGGGATCAAGCCCCACGTCACCTCCCTGCTCAGTGCGGAGTCTGCTTCTCCCTCTCCCTCTGCCCCTTTGCACCCCCTCCCGCTGCTCGTGCTCTCTCACGCTCTCTCAAATAAATAAAGTCTTAAAAAAAAAAAAAGAACCCAGAGCAGTTAGTTTAGTGCTGTGGCATAAAGTCTGTCTTCAGGGAATTCAGGTTCCTTCCCTTACCTGCTCTGTCCGTGACGGGTGCCTCTGACCTCATGCATTTGTTATGCGCCCCGGAGGCTGGCTTTTACAGTGCCCGACCTCCACTGATGCCAGGGAGTTGCACGGTTTTGTTTTGCTTTTTGCCATGTCCCAAGGCAGATCCACATTCCAGGCAAAAAGAAGGGAAAGCTTTTCAGAGTGGCCTTGCCTTTCTATCCAAAAGGAAATCCTCCTCAACTTGCATTTCACTGGCCAGCTCTAGCAGCAAAGGAGGCTAGGAATATGAGAGTTTTGTTTTCTGGCCTTTATAAAATAAAAGGCAGGAGAAAGTGAGGTAGGTGGATGTTGAATGAACCAACATAAATAGTACATGCACAAAATAATCTACACAATCACTCTGTTCAATTATACACCTGCTACAGTATGACTTACTAAGCCTGGCACACATGACCTAGTCCTAGACCTAGTCTATTATCTCTCTTCTCTTCGGCCAGACTTGTTTTGTTGCTCTTACCCAACATGTTCCCTTTCAAGCCTCCACACTATGAAGCTCAGAGTGCTACCCGGACCCTGCCCCTCAGTGTCCCCGAGATGCCTGCACTCTGCCACTAAATATGGACAAGTGTTAGAAGAGACAGAGTGTGACAAAACAACCATAACTACACCTTAAACACAAGGGAATTTTTATTTCTCTCCCTCAAAACAATCTTGGTGAAGGGGCAGGAAGGAAGCCTCCACTACCTTAAATGACCTAGGTCCTTCTATTTTATTGCCCTGCTCTGTTCTATGTGATGTTTCTGACTCATTAAATTTTTAGTATCTTAGAACAGCACATAGCAGGCACGAACAAACAACAAAGAAAGACCTGGATTAAAGTGAAGGAAATGATTTCACTATCCTAAGTAAGCTGTAAGGTGCTTTTCCCTTTTTCACCTTCTCCTTGGAGTTAGCCGTTCTACCTGAGCTCCACTAGATGGCAGCACATACACACATATAGTATATAAATGTGCGCCTCCTTTTCTTAAAACTGGAGGAAACTACAAATCCCGACATGCATTATTAAGCGCCTGACTTGCTTCTGTACAAAGGTTTCAAGTTTGTTGCTCGCCCAGGGATCTGGAGGACGACATCCACTTGCTGCTCTAAAGTAAGTTTTCCTAATATTTTTTAAATGACACTTCAGACTGGGAAAGGGGGAGGTTTAGATTTGCTTTGTTCTGCAAGGTACCTATTTCAAGATTAATCTTAGCAGTTAGATCAAGATAAGGGTGTGTTTTTAACAAGTTTGAAGTTTTGGTATATGTAAGTTTCTCAGTGTGGTTTTCACGTTGCATTTATTGAGAGTTGCCTCATTTTCCCATTTCAGGTCACGCTTGCCCTCATTTTCCCAAATAAATTCATTTTAGTTTGATAGTGTAGTTTATTGCAGCAGTGAGGCTTCGGCCCCAAAATTTGGCCCCAGAAAGACAAGGCCAGCGAGGAGGAGATTTCAGAGTGAGCGAAGCGGCTGCTCTGTGCTTGAGCAGTTGTTCAGTAAGCGCCTCTGCGGTGTCAGCGATTCCTGGGGAAACCTTTGGTACGTGCCTTCCGTGCCATGCAACGACGGGGGGCAAAATAATAGCTTTTTAATACACCATGCCCAAGATGGGGGGGGGGGCGGTTATTGGAGTCTCTTACTTTCTAAAGCATATATATCTCTTAACTCTTTACGTGTTTAAAGTGAAAATGTATCACTCGTGTAAGAATAAAGAAAAAAAAAAGCAAAACAAAACCGTGCAACTCCCTGGCATCAGTGGAAGTCGGGCACTGTAAAAGCTCAGCCTCCGGGGCGCATAACAAATGCAGACTTGCTCCGAGAACATCACTGGTGAAGCTGCAAGCAGGTCCCTGGAGCCGCTTGTTAGTGGGGCCCTCTGAGAAGCAAAACTCCAACACAGAGTTAAGCGTGCAAGCGTGTACTAGAGAAAATGCTGGTGCCAGAGGAAATGAGAGAACCGGCCGTCCGACCCCCCGAGGGAGGCCCCAGCCACCGCGGGGCTGGGAGCGAGGGCCGCCGGCAGGGCCGTGCGGTGGCCGGAGGGTCCGCAAGGTCTCTGTCTGTGTCCCGCAAAGTGGGACCGCCTTCGCGTGGGTGCGAACTCGCGCACGGCCTCGGCGCACAGCCCGCGCGGCCGCGCGCGGACCTAGAGGGCGCCCGCCCGAGACCGCAGGAACAGCGCGACCCACGAGGTCTTCTCTTGGACCTGCAATCCGAGGCCTAGGTTTGAGTTCACACCTCGGGACACGGCGCAGACCGCACGATCCCTTTGAAGGTAGTGCACTGGTGTCCAGGCGCAGCCTCCTGTCTGAACCGCTGCGCTCGTCCTGCTCCCGTCTCCATCCCCTCCCTCCCCGCAATTTCACCGGTGGCCCCTCAGGCCACAGCACACCCTCCCCAGGAAACCAGCCCCCGACCCCCGCCGGGACTGCTCCACAGTGGTCTTTCTGAAATACGTGTCTGCTTGTGTCACACTCTTTGCATCAGTCCTTTGGTGCCCATTGCCCACAGGATTAACTGGCCCCTCGGCATTCCGAGCTTAGATAAAGCCCCGAGGCTTGGTTACAGCAAAAAGCCAAGGTTGGCTGGGGAGAACAGAGATAGGTTCCAACAGAATGGACTAGATCATGTGAGTCCTCTAGGCAAGACTAGCTAGCTACCTGTACTTTATTAGGCAGGTGAGCAGGGTGATTGTGTAGGTTATCTGTACATGTGCCATTTAAGTGGGCTCGCTACCCACCCCCCCCCCCGCCCCAGCTTTTCTCTTTATAGAGGCTAGAAAACAAAACTCTCAAATTCCTAGCGCCTGCTGCTAGAGCTGGCCTGTGAAATGAAGATTGGAATTTCTGAGGAAGCCTTGCTTCTTGAAGAAAGTGAGGACACTCTGGAAGCCTTTTGGCTTTTATTTCCCACCACCACCTCCCAACCACCTTTTTCTTTTTTTCTTTTTCTTTTTTCTTTTTCTTTTTTTTTTTTTTTGCCTGGAATGGGGATGTGATGCCTTGGGACAAAGCAGCCATTGTGTGACTTGTGAGATCAGAGGCACCCATTAAGGACAGTGGGGTGAGAAAATGTACTCAGTTCCTTGAAGACGGCCTCAGTTGATCATCATTTGACTCAACTACCCCCAACCTCATCATTAGCCATTCCCTCTCATCCTGCGATCTACCGTCCAAGAACCAAATATCTTATGCATATCTTATTTTCCCTAGGTCAGAATTTCTCAGTCCTCCATTCTGAAAATTACTGCTGGTAGCACGCTGAAACTTCAGGAGAGGATCAGCAGCATTGTGGGGTGAAATTTCACATAGCAAAGGAGTCAGGAGGCCTGAGCTTAGTTCTGGCTCTGTCATTAACTGGGTCTGTGACCTTGAGAGCAAGTCAGATCACTTTTCTCATCTATAAAATAGGAGTACCGGACGTGATTTGATTTTCCAGCTCTTTTGTTCAATGACTCTGAGGCCAACCATGAAATCTTTCTAGTGACAAGGAAAAGCCATAGACAATTGGTAGTGCAAACCCCAACAAAAGTTTACAGCAGAGAAATCAAGAAGCACCCCCCACTAGTAAGGACACATACAATGCTGTAACAGTTTTTATATAGGGACAGTGGGGACAATGGTGGTGGTAGTGAGGGGAAGGACTCCCGCCCCTGCTCTATCAGTATCAGATGCTGTCTTCTCTAAGTACTCAAGAAACCAATTGGTGGATTAAAGTCCAATGTATCACTTCAGTGGGTTGTGCTAAATGTTTTTGATAATACCCAGCTAGGTATCTGGAGTCAGCATTCTTGGAGAATTCAGATGATGGGACGATTTGTACAGAAATGCTGTCATTAAGTTCTTAAAGAGTTCACTGAACTGTTCATTCTAGACATCGCTGCACAGGACCAGGTGCTCAGCCATTAAATACGTGTCTGTAGCTTAAGCCGCAGGTTCCATTATGGGTCGACTTGATGGGAAGGTCATCGTGCTGACAGCTGCCGCTCAGGGGATTGGCCGGGCAGCTGCCATAGTAAGTTGTCATCTGTGGTTTGCCTACTAACTTTGAGGTATTGAACTATGTGGACAGATCCCATGGTCATTTAATTCTGCTCTACTTTTTTTTTCTTGTTTATCTTGTGCTTCTGTTGTCTTAAGTTACAAAAAGAAAAGTCGCTATCCCTGACCCCCGGGGAAAAGATGAAGGCATGAACACCTCCCATGTTTATTATGTGACATCACTGATAACCTCCGACTCTGAGAGACGTCTTCCTCTGCCTCAGTTTCTCTGCACTATGATATATTTACTGCAGGGGCCCTACGGGAATGCATAGGTTTCTGAAATTACATCGATTCAGGTAGAGGACTCTAGAGTTACAAGACTATCAGGTTACCTTTACCTTCCAATTTATACCAACTTCTTGCACATTATAACCCCCACCTGAGCTAATTAATGCATTTGAAGTATTGACTTTAATGAAAGTATTTGACACTTATGAAAACAGTAGTATAGTCTGAGGAGAAAAAGTGTTGAAATAACCCATTTTCTCTTATTATTTGGAATATAAGAAGTGGAAAATAATAAAAACTTGCTCAGAAATGAAATACAGGCTATCACATCACAGAATAGTATTTTGAGAGGTGTCAGTAACAGTAAGAGATTAACTAGTTTTTAAAAACACGATTTTATTTCATAATGCTTAAAGGGACAAAGTTAGATGACAAGCACAATGTATGTCACGTTGTCCTAATTAATGATAAAAATAATAACAACGGGAAGGGTGAAGTGAGAGTAGAGAGCTTGAAATTCCATCTATTTTATAGGGAAAACAATGAAAATAAGATAAGGGGGAAAGCCTAACTGACTTTCCATTCATGAGAATGGAATCAAATCAAATAAACAAAGGATTTACTTGTATATTGTGTCTCCCAGGCTTTTGCAAGAGAAGGTGCCAAAGTCATCGCTACGGATATCAATGAGTCCAAACTTCAGGAACTAGAAGAGTACCCCGGTAAGCAAGTTGGCAGTGTGAACTTGGGATTCAGACTCTGCAAAGTATTATAAAGCAATAGTGCTCAGATGCTGAAAGAAAATTCCTTACCCACTCAGTTCCACTGGCCTTCTCTTTAGAGCCTGATTCTCTGATATCAAATCTATATTGTGCAAACCTACAGACAAAAATCTATATATTTAAATGTATAAACAACATTCTAAGATGTATACCTAAAATATTTTATTTATGCAACATGTTGAAGGATTCAGTCCTCAGTTACAAAATTACATGTTTAAATTTAACAGTTGCTAACTTTTTGTTTTTAGGTATGCTCTAGCCCAAGGTGGAACTTGAACTCATGATCCAGAGGTCAAGAGTTGCACACTCTACCAACTGAGCCAGTCAAGCAAGCGCCCCTGTTATTGTTAACTTTTTTTTTTTAAGCTTTTATTTCATTATTTCTCAGAGAGAGCACACAAGCAGGGGGAGAGGCAGAGGGAGAAGCAGGCTCCCCACTGAGCAGGGAGCCCGATTTGGGGCTATATCTAGGACCCTGGGATCATGACCTGAGCCAAAGGCAGATGCTTAACCAACTGAGCCACCCAGCATCCCTTATCGTTAACTTTTTTTTAAAAAAAGATTTTATTTATTTGACAGAGAGAGACACAGCGAGAGAGGGAACACAAGCAGGGGGAGTGGGAGAGGGAGAAGCAGGCTTCCTGACGAGCAGGGAGCCCGATGTGGGGCTTGATCCCAGGACCCTGGGATCATGACCTGAGCCGAAGGCAGACGCTTAACGACTGAGGCACCCAGGCGCCCCCCTTATCGTTAACTTTTAATGATGACTTTCCACTTGAGTGCCTCTCCGTGAGGGAAACACTGTCCAACAGAAACATGATGTGAGCCACATATGCAATTGTAAATTTTCTAGTGGCTACATTTAACAAGTAAAAAGACACAGGTGACGTTAATTTTAATAATATACTTAATTCACTACATCTAAAATATTATAATTTTAACATACACAGTATTAAAAAAATTTACACAGTAAAAAAAATTTAACATACACGGTATAAAAAATGCAATATTTTACATTTCTTATACCAAATCTTTGAAATGCACGTGTACTTTACACTTCCAGCACATTTCAGTTCAGACTAGCTGCATTTCAAATGCTCATACTGGAGACAGCTCAGCCTTGAAATCACATCATGATCAGAAACTGTAAGAGATTAACTTGTTTGGGTGCATATTGTCCCTCACTGCACCACACCGAACCTTAATTCCACCATCAGAGGGCTTCAATTGGCGTTACTCAGAAAGAAATCAGGACATAGAACTCATTTGAAAGTTAACTGTTTTGGCAAAATAGAACTGACTACGTGATCAAACACAACTGAGTTCACTGAATCAGTTAACTGAATTAGACCGTGTGGAGATACCATTTCAACAAGTCTAAGGGAAGCTGCTGTCCTAGAAAAGCACAAAGCAAAGGAAGTTCTTCTGAAGCTCAATTTTAGTCTTCCCCTTCTTCATTTATAATCTTTCTTTTCTATATCCAAAAGGGAAGAATAAAATAAACCATATTATTTTTAAAATCATAAAAATGACCAAAAAGCCTATTTGTTGGTTTAGGGTTTTTGTTTTGTTTTGGTTTGGTTTTTTGTTTTTGTTTTTTTTTTAGTAGCTAGTACAGCGTGTCTCTCTCAGATCCCGCACCAGATCTCTCACGGTCAGTGTTTTCATCTCTTCTTCTGGCCTCTCGTTTCTTCTTGCAGTTTAGTCCAGACGTAAGTGATGATACCCATGACCAACAAAGTCATTTCTAGTAAATAAAAGAATTGACTTAAAGGTAAAGGGCACAAATAGAAACAATCTCTTAGCTCACCGCACCTCAGACAGAATTCAACATCACTGTAGCAGTGATTCAACCTCTGGGGAAAGGAAACGCTGGAGAGAACCCACTTGCAGGTCTTACTGCTGGCTTACTGAGAGGCATCTGATACAGAGCTCAAGATGGGGAGGACTTGAAGATTTTTACTAATAAGATTTTGAGATTTCTAAGACCCTACTAATGGCCATCAATCCTGTGAAGCCTAACTGGACAAATATTACAGTCTTCACATTTCAGTGAAGTAAATCTTCAAGGCTAAACATTTTTATGAGTAAAGGTAAATCGTGTCCTTGTTTTATTTTTCAGGTATTCAAATTCGGACCCTTGACGTCACAAAGAAGAAACAAATTGACCAGTTTGCCAATGAAATTGAGAGACTTGATGTTCTCTTTAATGTTGCTGGGTAATTCATACTTTTTAATTTCACTGTCCTTACAGAAAGTTTTCTATGACTTATTTAATCACTTTTGACAATATGGCAAAATTATTCATCACAGACCATTATATATTTCTTAGGAAATACAGCTAGAGTTTAGACAGAATTTTTATTCTGAGATTCAGCAGGTGAGAAAGCCATAGAAGTGGACACGGGCTTGAGTCCTAAGGGAAATTATGGTCAACTCAAGAGCACTGGTAGTAATCCAGACCTGTTGCTCTTCTTAAGGCTGGTAACAGCTCACACCAATGGACTGGTTGTGGATGCGCCACTAAGACATAAAATAAAATGAAAAACTGTTTTCCAGTAGATGTCTTTAAAACAAAGCATATTTACCAGAAACCAAGTACTCAGCCTATTGAAATGCAGGTGTTCCCCATTTTTTTGGCACAACATTCTAGCCAGTCCTCCACACACCTCCCAAGCCCAGGGTTTCTTATCGGGACAATGAGCCCCACCCAGCAGAAGAAGTCTACGTGTTACACTTCTGTAGAGAGCACAAAGAGAGTGGCTTAATTGAACTTACTGGGGTGGTACCCAACATGCTGAATCAGGTGCGAATGTGGGGAGACTGGAACTGGACCCACCACACAGACGACAGGTAGCGCTAGCAGTTTTCCTACTCAGGAGCAGCTCAGTAGAGGTGAGCACAATGGACATTCACACCGGAACTAAGTGACATTCCCCTTTTCTTATGGAGTGTTATATTTGTAATGCCGCATTGATAGAAAAGTTCCAGAGCCTCCTAATATATTTTTGTTCTTCCTAATCATGCTTCAGAGCAAAAAAAAAAAAAAAAAAAAGTCCATCTATAGTTTGTCATATGTGACATTGTGTGGAAATTAAATTAAAGCAACAATATATGGCAATCTATTTTATAAACTGCTCATCCCTTATATGAGAATATACTGAGAGCCATGACCAAAAAAAAATCAGTTAGGAAATTAGTTTTTGAACATCTTCACATTAAATTTTCAGCAACATAAGGGATATAGAAGTAGAGCATGTGGTTCTTGCTGTCATACGAAGGATGAGCAGGTTATTTACGAGTGTGACTTGACAAGGAGTGAAGCCTGCTTGAAGTTTTGTTTTGTTCTGCTCTGTTTACTCAGTATGTTAGAACCGTATGATAGCAGTATTTCTTTGCTACCCTGAAATGTGCAGACAGTGGTTTTCCTTGCAATTTGATTTTCTCTTTGAAAACACTAAATCTGTGCCACCAGAGGGCACTATAGCTCCTGAAGTAGGAGTCAGGGCGGGCGTCCTAGGCTCACGTTTGTTTTTGATATTTCCCGTGCAGTTGCTGCCCAGATTCTTATGTTGGGTGGCCTCAGACTTTTGCCTTTCTCTTTTAGAAGAAGGATGTTGTTTTCAAATAAATGTATTTAGCTTAAGTTGTTAGATACTCATTAACCTAATGTACTAAGTGATATTCCGAATTGTTAAAATCTTCATAAGGGAAGGGTCAATGGTCTCATTGTACGACAATAAAAAAATGGTAAGGAAATGGAATACAAATCTTCTTAAATGATCATTTTTCCCCACTGATCAATCCCTCTTCCAGTTTTGTCCATCACGGAACCATCCTGGACTGCGAGGAGAAAGACTGGGACTTCTCGATGAATCTCAATGTCCGCAGCATGTACTTGATGATCAAGGCATTTCTTCCTAAAGTAAGGACCACCACCACTAGGATAAGCACCACTGGATAAGTAGGTCTCCGCACTGGGCACCGAGAAAGGGTCCTCACATGTGCCAAAGAGTGACAGTAGCTAATATAATGACAAACCTGTACTGAACATTTATATCAAGGCATTTAATATAAATTAACTCATTTAACCTTCCAGTTAAGAAATAGTCAAGAAATATTAAGCACTTTCTATTTGCAGGTCTCCCTCATTCTAGATGCAGAAGACACATCAGAAAACTAAACAAAGTCCCTTCTATAAGGGAGACCCCATTTTTGAGGAGACAGGATAATGGGTAATGAGACATATAACTTGGGGAGTGATTAGAAGTACTACGAAGAAAAAGAAGCTAGGATATCAGTAAAGTCCAGGAGGGCCTCACTGAGAAGCTGGAATTTTCATAGAGGTCTAAGTGAAATGAGGGAGCTAGCCATTCAGGTATATTCGGAAAAGGGTCCCAGGGAGAGGGACAGCAAGGAGGCATGCAGAACCAGAAGAATGTGATGAGGTAGGTACTACTTTATCACATCCACTGTACAGAGGATAAAACTGGGAGGTGAGATAACTTGCCCAAGGTCACATAACTATCAAGTGGGTAGAGTAGGATCTGAACCCTGGAAGTTGGGCCCCTTCTTGAATTTCAGTATCTAGGCACATGCTCTCAGGATAGACGTACCCCCATTGCTTTTCTGTTCCCTGATACTCTCCTTGTTTTTAGCTGAGCCACAGAGGTACCAGAGAGGTGAGAGCCAGTGTATGCTAAAGAGAGAGCATGCCTCCTGAGTCGGCTACCCTTGAATTCCACAGCCTTCACACAGCTCATCAATGTTCTTCATTTTATTTTACAAACAAGCGTTAAATGCCTTTTGACATAAAGTGCGCACTAGGCGTTCTGGGGAGAGGGGAGTGTAAATATGAAAAACATTGAGTTCAAATGAACTGACAAGCCAAGAGTAAGCAGACAGCACAAGCTCAGACAATGAAAAGGGTTGACTGAGTATCACAGAACTAGCTCAGTCCAAGGTTGTCAACTGAACCCTAGTGAAATGCAGAGGAGCATTCTTCTCTTCCATCCCAGCCAGATTAGATGACAGACATACCGAATGCTGCCAACCCAGCACAGAGAAGAGCTTTCTAATGGCAACGCAGGGCCGATGCTTTGCTCTAAACATTCAACCTAATGTCAAGATGAACATCAAAAGGAAAATTAGGAAAACCTGACTTGGAAACAAAGGAATTTGTTTTGATCTGCTTGTTTAGCACCTAGAAAGGATCTCTCAGTGGGTCCATGGGATGTTGCACTAGCAAATTTTTTTAATATAAATCTCATTTTTTCTGCTTATTTGGAGTTCATGAGAATCTATGTTATTTGGAACTTGGATTATTTTTTTTTTTTTTGAAGACTGATCCTAGAATATGGGAGAGAAGCAGAGGCTCTGGTAAAAGGAGAAAGCTTAGGTCACAGGGGGTAAGCTGTCACGTGTGCATAACCAGCCTACTTCATGTCTGGAATGCTTTACAAATGTGAATGAAGGCAGCAAGGGTGGGATATAGTCCAGTGGAGCTGAAATTTAAACTTGTCAATAAGCGTTAACTTTTGAAATATCAAACACTAACTTGCAAATTAGTGAGTTTACCTATGATTTAAAGCATCTTAACAATAATCCATATGAGCCAATAACACCCATTTGTAAAACATCCCAAGAGATAGTAATGATTGGGATGGGCAATCAGAAGGAGTCGATGCCACTTCTGAAAGTGACAGTAACCAGCCTGACCCCAGATTTCGGACTCTGGCTTCACAGCCTGAACACTGCCCCTCCTTTACCATGCACTGTGGGAGATGGCACTTGTGTTCTATTCTATTTAAAACAAGGGTGAAAAAATTACACGATCCCTGTCGGATCCTCTGGGTTCATTAACTGTGATGCACATTTCCAGGTTAGAACTTTCCAGGGGAAGCCAGGATTTAGAGTCCAGGCAGACCTGAAAAGTCAGGTGGTCAGAACATAGAAACACTTTTGGAAATTTTTGTTCATGGGTAGACATACTGAAAACCATTCCAAGACTGGAATTTAAGTCAAAAGGCAAAGAACAAGTTGAAAATACTGTAAGAAGAGGTCAGCGCAGAGTCCGAAGTCAGGAAAGTCTCGGCTATGTGGAGGTTTCTCCCTTTTGCTGTATCTTAAAAGATTCTCTAGCACATAGAGGTGCTTTGGCAAGTATTTGTTGAATGAATAAATGAATGTAGGTCGTCAGTCCAGGTAGAGGTCAGACATGGAATCACCGAAGACCCAAGAAACCAAGGTCTGCCAGGTTTAGGAGCTGAGCTCAGTGGGGACAGAAGAGCTGGGTTAGGGTAGGACTAACTAGATCTACAGCTAGAGGGAGTTTTTCAGAGTTCTTTCTTAGCCCCTCCCTGAGCTTCTGGGAGGTCAGTCATATGGAGGATCACCACGTACTAGGCACTTCACTTTATAGTTGCCAAGTCGTATTTGCCAGAGAGGGCTGTCGCATGGGGAGTCAGGAGGAGCACGCACACTCTACCAGCAGGCACTGAGCTGGTGTGGAGAAGACCTCATGGAAGGAGGCAAGGACAGGGCTCTAGAACCAGCAGACAGACCTGGTCGAATGGATGGAACAAGTGTCAGGGGCAGCACTAGCGTCTCCTCGTGACTATATTCTAAAGTTTTGCCTGAGGAATTGCTGCATTTCTGAAGATGAGAGACTGAGCTTACTTCATAGCTCATCTTTATATATTCAGTTGGGGTATATGTATTCTATAGGTACTAAAACAGGTTACATATGACAATGATAGCTCAATAAAACTGGAAAAAAATTAAAAATAAGTAAAAATGGGTTATTTGCAAAGTTGGGTAAGAAAGAATAATGTTAAGGCTTTGTTTTCAAGCCTTGACTAATTTTCCTGGTCTTTTTTTCTGAGGACCCCATTTCATATGATCCTGTTTATCGCACAAACAAGTTGGGTTCAATACTTTCACCCCTGCTGCTGTCCTTGACTTGGTTGGCTCGCCTCAGCCTCCCCTTGCACTCTTTAATCCATCCAACACAATGCCTTAGGTTGTTTTACTCTCTGCTCTTGGATGCAAATAGTAACTAAGTATCAAAACAGAAAGGAAGGGAATACTATAGGGAGACCTATCATCTTGGCAGCCTCTTCCCTGGACCAGTCACTCACCTCCATTCCTGCACCTCTTGGTCTGAAAGCGGCTAGAGCAACTCACCGAAGCAGAAGCGACTTCTCCCTCTACACTGACTGTTGAGACGCTTTCTTCTTAGAAACTTTTTACTTTACTTTCATGGCACAGCATGTCCTGCTCTTCCTTCCTCTGTTCTCTGGTGGTGGTCTTCCATTTCCTCCCAGCGCTTGTTATAACTCTTGACCACTCTCCGTGTCCACCAGCCCCGCCTTGTTTATGGTCATCCTCCAAGCCTGATTTCAATGAGAAGGTAGTGCCCATTGGGCAGGAGTGCTCTTCAGGTGTTGCTCCTGCCCCCAAAGCATTCATGGGTCTCCATGCCTCCGGACCTACCTACATGCCCTGGAAAACACACATACATGTTATACTTAAGTATACGTTCATCTGAAAACATTTTTAATTCCTAGTAGCTTTTTTATTCATTATATTATTCGTTTAGGTCTGGGGCAGGGCCCAGCAACCTGCACTTTAAACTAGCATCTCAGGGTGCCTGCATGCCGCAGTCGGTTAAGCATCTGACTCTTGATTTCAGCTCGGGTCATGATCTCAGGGTTGTGAGATCAAGCCCCTTGTAGGGCTCTGCGCTCAGCAGGGAGTCCGCTTAAGATTCTCTCTCTCCTTCTCCCTCTGCCCCTACCCCCACTCAAGCTCTCTCTAAATAAATTAATTAATTAAAAAAGAACTAGCACCTCAAGAGATTTTGATTCATCACAGTGTATGGTCCACCTACTGTGTACCATGTAGGAGGACAAGACAGCCACAGACCCTCGTCTTCAGACCTTCACACTTTGGGGGAATTCTGAGGGAAGTGTTCTTAGGAAACATTTCTTCAATGAGGGAGGCAGGCCTCACTGCGTATAACCATTTACCACGTCCTGCACTTACTACCTAAACCATCTCCACCCCTGTTGCCCACAGACATTTCTGCATCTCTGCTTTCATCAGTCCTTTCCGAAATCACTCTATCAGCTTCCAGTGGGTCTCCTCAACACGGTGCCGAAGTAATCTTAGTATTCCCCAGATATAAACATGCCGCTGCTCTGCATTAAACCCCTCATTGTCACCACCACACTGCCCTCAGGGTAATGCCCAAATTCCTAAACTTAGCTCCCGTTGGCCTCTGCAGCCTCATTCCTCCCACGCCTAGCATTCCAACCAGACCCATCCCTTCCTTCCAGTTCCATGATACAGCCTCAATACGTGTGGTTCTTGCTTCTTAAAATACCTTTCTATTTTTCTGGCTAATACTTTGGTTTTCAAAAATCAGCCCACCTCTTTCCTCCTTAGGAACACTCCTCTGAGTGTCCCGCAACCTGGACTGGTCCCTTCCCGCCACCCCGATTCCCCTCTCTGGAGGTCTCTGCCGTCTGTTGCCAGATGCTGGTTATGTCAACCCCTCCAGTCAGCCGGCAGCTCTCTATAGGCAGGGAGTGTGTCATTTATCTTCCAAACTCCTGGACCTACCACTGTATCTGATCATAGTACGTCTTCAACAAACATGTGTCAAACAAAGTAAGAGTTTTCCAACGGCAGGAATACAAAGTAACAATTAATGTTCATTAACTTTTCATTTAGCTCAGAGTTCCTTCTTGGTCTTGCTGATGCTTTTGTGCCAAAGGAAGGCGGTAATCCCCCTGGGAAATGTTCCTGCCAGTGAGTGCGTAATGACTGGGTGAGACTGTTAAGACTGCCTAACAGAGCTTCATGTTAATAGCTAATAAGATGCTTCTGCAAACCATAAGTAAATGCAAATCTTCTAAAGAGGTCGCATTCTTATCTTACAGAGTGGCTTTTTTTTTTTTTTTTTTTTTTTTGTATTTGTTTTGTTTTGGCAGATGCTTGCACAGAAATCTGGCAACATTATCAACATGTCGTCTGTGGCATCCAGCGTCAAAGGTAGGTCTGTTTTCCTCTGGGAATCACGATGCACAGACCCCCGTACCTTCACGAGCTGTGGGTTTTTGCAATGAGCATAGCAGAGATTATAAAGCCCACACATAACTTCAAAACCACTTTTTAAAAAATTGGTATTAAGTTCCTTACTGTCAGTCTTTTTTGCCTTCGTTGTAAACCAGTCGTAAAAAATAAATTTGTTTCATTTGCCCTTCCTTGTATTCCTTCTAATGGATGTGAACATGAAAATCAAGCTGGAAGAAGGAAATATTTATCCATTTAATTAGCCAAGAAAGATGTATCGAACGCTATGTGCCCCTCACAGTCCACAAGGGGGAGGGTCGGGCAAGTGCACATCTTCTGCAGTGTGACAGTATTACCAGCCGGGTTTGTGCAAAGCGCTGGCACCACTGATATGGGGGAGTGCTTCCCCAGGTCGGCTGATCTGGGCCCCAAACACAAGTCAAGTCCAAGAGCCGGGACTGCAGTGCCAAATGGAAATGACATCACAGTCCGGCAGACGGACTTGCACACTTCAAATGAAAGAGTTACCGCGGAGGTGGCGTCCCTCCTCAACTCAAGAACACCCGTAAGCCTGTCCAAGACAGGAAGGCAGAGAGGCCACAGGCCTCTTCGTTTTTTGGTCTGGTGTTTGTTCTGTTGTTCTTTCCCCTGATTCTCTTTTGGAATCCGCCCAAGGGTTCTGCCCACCGATGATGAAAACCTAAGACCGCTGCCATCACCTAAGTGCAGGTTCTCAACCCTCAGTCTCGACTGAGTTGTGCCAGGAACGATATTATTTTCCCACAGTCAGAAACCGGCCCTCTGCAGGGAGAAAACCTGACACCAAATTTTAAAAAGGGTGGGATGGCAGGAAACAGGACAGTGGTTCCTGGGGACAGTCAGTTGTGTTCCCTTCCTCAAGGAGACTGTTGTTTTGTTCCTTCGATTGTTGAGTCTTCCTTTCACCTCAGGAGTTATGAACAGATGTGTGTACAGCGCCACCAAGGCGGCTGTGATTGGCCTCACGAAGTCCGTGGCCACAGACTTCATCCAGCAGGGGATCAGGTGCAACTGCGTGTGTCCAGGTGAGGCGGGCACCACAGGGCTGCCACTGCGCAACCCATCCACGGGAGCTTGTTTACCACGTTGTATTGGATCCTGTCATTGGGGAAAAGCTCAAATGAACAAGGGTCTAGGCTTACTAAGATAACAGTCCAACAGGGGCACCTGGGTGGCTCAAATGGTTAAGTGTCTGCCTTCAGCTCAGGTCATGATCCTGGAGTTCTGGGATCGAACCCCAGGTCGGGCTCCCTGCTCTGCAGGGAGCCCGCTTCTCCCTCTGCCCCTCCCCCTCTCATGCTTGTTCTCTCTCTCTCTCTCTCTCACTCTCTCTCAAATAAAAATCTTAAAAAAAAAAAGATAACAGTCCAACAGTAGGTTGGGAACGAGATTCTTAGTCATTAGGAAGGAACCACAGATGCAAAGGGTTTAAATGGTATTCATGTGTGTGGAACAATTCCAAATCTCATGGCCAAGACACACAACTGGCCAGAGCTTGGTGTTTAGGAAGCAGACCAGACATGCCCTTGTCAGGGGAAAGATGGAAAGTAGACCATGCTCATAGGACCACAGGAAGAAAGTAAGAGCAGCTTCCCAGAACGTAGGGAGCTACTGAGTCTTGTCAATCACCTGGGGTGACCCATAAATAAAAAGGAGGGGTTAACACCCTCTTTGATGCTATCAAAAGAGGGCCAGCAGACTGTGGGCTGCAGGAGAAATCTGGCCCACCACCTGTGTAATAAAGACAGTCGTATTCGAACACATCCACACCCAGTTTGCATACATATTGGCTATGACCGCACTCCTGCTACAAAGCAGAGTTAAGCAGTTGTAATTGACCAAATAAATGGCTCTCAAAGCGAAAAATATTCTCTATCTGGCTTTTTTTTTTTTTTAAGAGTTTATTTATTTATTTGACAGAGGGAGAGACAGCGAGAGAGGGAACACAAGCAGGGGGAGCGGGAGAGGGAGAAGCAGCTTCCCGCGGAGCAGGGAGCCCGATGCGGGACTCGATCCCAGGGTCCTGGGATGGTGACCTGAGCTGAAGGCAGATGCTTAACGACTGAACCACCCAGGCTATCCTTCTCTATCTGGCTTTTTACCAAAATGTATGCTGACCTCCCATAGAAAGGAAAGAAGAAAAGCAGAACTTAGTAGACAGGACATTCGATCTGTCCAAACAAAAGCATTCTGTAACTTATTTCATAGGAATAACTTATTTTCTTAATAACTGTGGGTATGTCTAGGAACTAGATATGCCCTTCCACTGGGTTCCACTGACCCAAAAGGGAGCCTAAGAAGAATTACTAGCTGCTTCTCTGAAAAGGATTTAAATATCACATTTCCAGGATCAAGGCGGCCCTCAGGGGTTCACAACTGGTATTGGGGGGTTGGAGAGAAGAAGCATTTCGCAGTTACCCATGGAACTTTTCGAAACCTAAAGTGCATGCTAGCATCTGGGGAAAGAGTTGATGGGGAAAACCATGTGTCATTTGGAAAGTTCCACACAAGATTTTTATATATTCCACCGTGGTCTCCCCTTGCTGACCTATCAGTTTAAAAGAGGAATACAGAATACCCTTCAAGCTGCAGAATATCCATGACTGAGGTGTTCTAAGTTTTCTTGGACTAGAAAGGTAAACCTAGGTAACACCAAGAAAAAAGAGGATATAGGCAAAAAGAGGATATAGGGTTTTAACATACCCACTGGTGACACCTGACTCTAGCTATTTGGGGTACCATTTACCCAGTGGAATAAATGGCAAAATGATTTGGAAAATGTAGTTGTTTTTAGCAGCTGGACTTTTCAGAAGATTGGAAAATATATTATCAAACTGTCTGGAACAAGGAACTAGCTATGACTCAAGAGCCAGTCACAGAGAAAATCTGACAAGGGATGAGTGTGCCTGGGATGGTGCTGATGGTGGTGTAGTCACAACTCTTCCACACCAGGCTTGTGTAGACGGGGGCACGCCATGTCAGTCTGGGCCACGGACACAGTGGAGCCAGGACAGTGGAACTAAGTAGAAAGCATAGGCTTGCTCTGTGGTTTCAGTTAATAGCCATTTACAGCAGCCATATGAAAGAGATGATGCTCACTTGTCTGAGTGGTAGGAAGGTATCAAAGTTGTATTTTAAAACTGGATTTTGAGGATATTGTTAAGTGAAAGCTTAGGTGTCTTAAGCATACTGTTGGTAGGATCCTGGGCTGTTAGGAGGCTATGGGTGAGAGAAGTGAAGAAAATATTATTGGAAGCTGGGTACAAGGGAATCTTTGTTACGTGGCTCCAGGAAGTTTATCAACACTATTGCCCACAGTGATGTGGAAGGTAGAAAATGTTCCTAATGAACTGGGTGATCTAGTAAAGGCAGTTTCCTACCCTGAGTGTCGAAAGGGCTGCCCACTTATGGTGAAATGTGAAAGGAGACAGGTGACCTAAAGAAATGGTGTTAAACACAAAGGAGCCAGAACTTTCTGACTTTGAAGATTCCCACCTTCTCCAGAGAAATGACAAATGATGCTAAAATTGAGAAATGGTTTCCTGGTAAACATCGACCCGATGGCACTCTCAGGACCAGAGGGTATGACTGTAAAATCATTTGTTATGACCTTACAGGTATCATGTGGTTGCCCAGAGAACTGTCAGCCCCCCACAGAAAAGGCCTTCTAAAGACAATTCACAGATGACATAAATTAATAAAAAAATCTGGGCAACTTGCTCTGTGGGAGCTTGAACCAAGCGGGATTTTAAAAAATTTTAGCATCATTCTTACTTTTTTTAAAGTGAAATAATTTCAAATTATATTTTTTATGAGAAACATGAAGCTGTGATTAAAAATAGGAATTCAAAACCAATGAAAATAGGCAAGATAATGAGGAAAATGTAGAACCATCTAAATTACTGAGGACCATGACAAGCATGGCACCATCTCTGAGGATCCCCAGAGTGAACCTGACAGCAAAGAATGGTTTTGAGATCATTAAGGCATCCTGGGTTCTTGTACTGGTGAAGTACTTATATGAATGTATGGACATCTCAGGGTTGTTCTGAGGAGGAACTGAGATAATACATGTAAAAGTGCTTAAAATCCATAAAGTGTCATGTCAATGTACTGTGACTAAAATATGTCTCAGGAATGCTGGGCAATTCACCCAGAGTCCTTGCCTCATGTCACAAGGAATTAAGATCTGTATTTTTAAAAATCATAGAAAATGGAGGTGAAATTATCATTCAAAGTCATGGAGAAGGATTTCACTGATGGTTGTGTCATATTGAAAGAAGTTTAAAGTTTGTCAATGTCTTTTTCAGTTTGAGTAATTAACCAAGCTGAATGTCCCCCTTTGATTTAGGAACGGTTGATAGCCCATCTCTGCAAGAAAGAATACAAGCCAGACCAAATCCCGAAGAGGTATATCTACTATTTTAAATTGTGTTGAAATCTTCTGGTTGAAAGGTGTCCTCTTCCTTTCCTAGAGTAGACAAATTCATAGAGACAGAGAGAAGGGTGGCTGCCAGGAGCTGGGGGAGGAGAGAACAGGGAGTTATTGGTTAATGGGTATAGAGTATCCGTTTTGCAAGATGAAAAGAGTTCTAGAGATCTGTTGCACAATAATGTGAATGTACTTAACACTACTGAACTCTACACTTAAAAATGGTTAAGATGATAAATAACACATTATGTGTATTTTATCAGTTTCAAAAATTAAAAAAAAAAAAAGCCCTCCTCTTTAACTGCTCTGATACAGGTGTGTGTAGGTTTAACATAACACATAGTTTGAGTATCTTGAAAGTCACCATAGTCCTACTTGGTCCACAATTAATGATATTAATGATATTCTCATGTATCATACATGATTAATCAAGGCAGCACGCCACTGGAACCTCTATAGATTCCTCGTCTTTGACCTCCTGAGGAGTTCACACTTCACCTCACATTACTGATACCTGGTATGGTTTCTTGTCTCAGGCACGGAACTATTTCCTGAAGAGACAGAAGACTGGAAGATTTGCAACCCCAGAAGAAATAGCCCTGCTGTGTGTGTACTTAGCTTCTGATGAAGTAAGCACTATTCTTCCCAGGGAGTTCATTATCCTCATTTGGCCACGATTTGCTTATCAAAATGTCATGTTAGAGAGTTGCAATATATATATGCTAAGAGGTTGCATTTACAAGATAGGGGTAAGTTGTGATTTAATTTGCTCAAAGACAGACCACGTGATCTGAGCCGCCAACTCTTCCTCATTCAACACTACATGTCACTAAATCTTGTAGCAAATGACATGGGGCATTGAAAAAATTAAATTGCTCAATTTTATGAGACAGTTGCTTTCAAATATTATAATTGGGGAAAGCCTGACTAAACGTAAGTCAAGAAATGAACCTCCAAAATTATGAGAGCTTCAGGTGAAATGGGGAGAGAGTTAAACAGATGTAATTGTCTCTAGAAGACACCGAATTGGCATCTGGTATTTTTAGTTTAAGAGAATCCTACTGGCTCTTTTTTTCTATGAATTCTTGCTTGTCATCACGTATGGAAATTCCTATTTCTATCTCTTTCCACTTTGCAACTATTTAGTAACCAGTTTCTTCCTTAATGGCTATTGTATATATTCTTAAATGGCACACAACTACAAAAGCAGAAGCTTCATTTATAAGGTACAGAGCACAAGAACATCCCTCTCTGTTTTATGTATTTGCATGTTACATGACCAGGGAACTGCAGTGTATGAGGAGAGAGGAAGAAAGGGACCCAGGTAGAAGTGAGGAGGTGTGTTGCTGATGCGTTAGCTCTTCTTTACAGTAACTTGGTACACACCAGGCGGTTGGTGAAGGTGACAAATACAGTGGTTGAAATGTTTTAGTGATAGAAGTTACCACTTCTCGGGACTGTTAACGGCAGTTGTTGGTCGCTGCAGTAATTGCTAAACAAATTACTAATAGAACAAGTTTATTGGCATTTGTGGTCTCTCTGACTCTGTATCTACAGAAGAGCTCATTTGATTTGGAGGTGCTGCTGAGGGGCTAAACTGCCCTTGTTTAGCCAGAGCTTAGGTTACCAAATATTTGGAAATGGTCTGCCTTGAAATGTGCAATCAAAAGACCTTTGGACTTTTAGAGGAACCCAGAGGAGTCCTATATATGTAACAGAAAGCTTGCTTTAAAAAAAAAAAACAAAAAACTTTGAGGAATTGGGGTCGTTTCTTGGTAAAGTGTCTGATAACCCCCTAGTTTATCTACTGTATTTGATCAGTTTTCATAGATTGAAGTTTAAAAATTTCTGTTCTCATACTATGTTTTTCCTTCCTGCCTCTTCCATTGTCTCAGGCTTTAGATAAATGTAAAAGTAAGAACACAAATTTACTATCCATGCTTAAGTTAAAAGATTTTTAAACCCCTACCACAAGGATTATTTCAGCTTTATTTCTTTGGAAAACGAAAAATTCCATGGAAAAAAAAAGTAATTTTTTAAATTCCCTTAGTTTTGTACAGATTTGGATATCTGAAACTAGTGTAGAATATTTTTTCATAGCTTAACAGATGTAATAATTATTATTCATACAAATTTTAAAGACACATTTAGGGTGCTTCAGCTCCTGGAAATACCTATGTATTTCAATCAACTAAATATACAATATCTTATATAAAAAATTCTGTTTGGTAATTGACATGACCACTTTATGACAGACACTTGATGTTCAAAAATTTATTAATGGCATAAAACTCAGCTACTTTAGAATAGTTCTGAATTTCAAAATGAAAATGTAGTATTTTAGCCTATACTTTATCCTAATTTAGGGAGTGGCTGCATATCACTAAACTTAATTTTCTGATTCTGACACCAAACACCTGCTTAGAATGTGACTTTTGTGCTAAAACACTAGCCAGAGGCCAGTTAACTCCAGATCACAAGAACATGCTGCTGTGTCAAATCATCCAAAATTTAATTCAGATTTTCCTAAAAGGTTTGTTAGGTGAGTATTCCTTTTACCATGAATACATTGTTTAGCTATCTCAGTCAGGGGAAAATTGAAACACAACCTGTGTTAAACCTGGTTAATTGTTCTGTCTCCTTGTGTTTATCACTGCAGTCTGCCTATGTAACAGGTAATCCTGTCATCATTGATGGAGGCTGGAGCTTGTGATTTTGATCTCTTTGCTGGGAAGGCAGGCCCCTCCTGTCCACAGTGAACCTGGTTATGAAGAAAATTCACCCCTCATGTCTTTCCTATTAATGGCATATTAATGAAAACAAGCCCTTTTTAATTATGTCATTGTTCACAAGAATCAGATTCTTTAAATATATTAATCTCTTTCTAACCTCTTCTGAAATCATTGTAGGGAGATGACATAAAAGACAATGAACTCACTGCAAATGAATAGTTTTAAAATAAACCACAATTTGCAAGCATATAAAATTAAAATGGGAATATGAAAAATGGAAGGTTTTTAAGAAAAAGGTATTAATTTGTATTTTACTTCTATTTCAAATTATTCAACTATTTTGTACAATTCTGCATTGGTCTGTACATGGATACTAATTTTAAAATTTCACACCATTATAAATGAAAACAAGGTAGGAAGGAATTTGGCTTCAGTAACTTACATTAAAAGGACTTTAGATTCGGAACTATACTGTTGATCAATTATATAAAAGAAAAATAATCAAGTGTTTATACTTAACGGATGTTATCACTCAAAATTAAGTACTGTCTTCTTAGTTTAAGTAAAAAATCTTTCTTAAAATAAGCAATGATATTTGGCATGGGCCTAAGAAACTTATAATGAACTAGCAGTATTGGCAATTTGAGTGATATTTTTTAGGTTAAATGTAGATATTTTTTTCAGCAAATTCCAGGTTAATAGTAAGAGGACATGAAATTTAGAAACAGTCTCTGGGTAAATAAATATAAGTGAATCATATAATAGGAAACAAAATTAAAGAAAATAAAATTTTCAAGGAATGATGAAATAGAAAAAGAATTAAGGAATACAAACTTCCAGTTATAAAATAAGTAAGTCACAGAGATGAAAAGTACAGCATAGAGAATATAGTTAATAGTATTGTAATAACATTGTATGGTGACTACACTTATCATGGTGAGCATTGAATAATGTATAGAATTATTGAATCAATATGTTGTACACCTGCACTTAATACAGCATTGTATGTTAATTATAATTCAATTAAAAAATGGTTACAACGTTGTTGGGTTTTGTTTTTTGTTGTTTTTTTTTTTTTTTTTTTTTTTTTTTTTTTCATGAAAAAGCTTAAGTGGGGCACCTGGGTGGCTCAGTCAGTTAGGCGTCTGCGTTCAGCTCTGGTCATGATCCCGGGGTCCTGTGATCAAGCCCCTCATTGGGCTGCCTGCTCAGCCAGGAGTCTGCTTCTCCCTCCCCCTCTGCTGCTCCCCCTGCTTATGCTCTCTCTCTCTCTCTCTCTCTCTCTGTCAAATAAATAAATAAAATCTTTAAAAAAAAAAAAAGCTTAAGCAAATTGTGGATGATAATTCTATAAGAGATTAGGAAGAAGTTTTTCTTATTCTTTTAGTGTTAGGGTTTTATGTTTGTTTTTTATTTGTTGCTACTTCAAAAGATCAAATGGTATGATGTACATATAGATAATAAATGAGCATTTACTCTTAGCCTTTCCTTTTAGAACCTTAATTTATAATTAATATTCATATTAACAAGGAAAATCTTGAAATGGACAATAAAAGGATAACATATGTGAGGAAGAATATTATGTGGTTGATGAAAAAGAGTTAAAATTGACAGCAAAGAATATACTGACTAGCATTCCTGAAGAGTCCCTGATTATAAGATTAGCTTTGGGGTTCTGGACCAGGTAGTCCACAACTGCATCACAGATAGCTTGTTTTGTGACCTAGACCAAGTCACCCAATTGACCTTGGATTTTAGTTTTCTGGTTTGTGAAATTAGGGAATTGGACCAAATGACTTGGGGTTTTTTGTTTTTGGTTTTTTTGGTGTTTCATAATCAAAATGCTGTAACTTCTCATCAAGTGAAGTGATGGAACACTGAAGCTTACAAGTATGTTATGAAGTACTTTATGCTGTGAGCAAGTATACATGTGTATGTACAGCTATGACAAATGAATTCTAAATAAACACAGGATGAATTCTACAAAATGAGTTCTAACATTAACAAAGGCTTCCCCAGAGTTAGTTCTTTTAGCTAACTATAAACGATAAAACATTATAAACAATAAAAGCAGAGGTAAAATCTCACCAAACAGTTCAATGTTCTCCAAAGTCATGTTAATCAGATGGGGTGATGAGTCAGTGAAGATCATATGACTAAAAGAAAAGGAAAAATATATTCCATTCCTGGTGTAAGAGGAAGCTGGATACCACTAGAAATTTCTGCAAGCTTTAGGAGAGGAAGGGCAGTTTAGGAAAATACAGTAATCACTTTAGATGCTCTGAAGATTATTGGATGGATGTAGGTTCATCCATACTACTCACAAAGGAGGGCCTGAGAGACAAGAATGAGTGTTTCTATCTGGTGGAGACACTTCCTTGACGTTGTCCCTCTTGCTTGAAATGATTAAAACTGGCCCAAGGAGTGAAAAACAGGTAAGACCATTTTTATTCCTGAAGGAAATGAAAATTACCCCGAAAGGGGCACGCGCATATACACACACTCGCTTGGAGGGCGGAAAAATACAGGAAAGAAAGAGAGTTTTAAAGGAAAAAAGAAACTGCTGATGGGAAGGTTAAAATCTAAAATGATGCGGTAAGAAGGGCTCAGTGTTAAAGAAGCAATAAAAAAGGTGGGGGGAGGACAAGCGTTTTATCCCACCGAATTGGTCACCCAGACAAAGAATCCTGTCTTCCCACCGCATCTGCGAAGACACTTGTAAAAAGCACATCTGAGGGGCGCCTGAGTGGCTCAGTCTGTTGAGTGTCTGCCTTCGGCTCAGGTCATGATCCCAGGGTCCTGGGATCGAGCCCCACATCGGGCTCCCTGCTCAGTGGGGAGCCTGCTTCTCCCCTTCCCTCTGCCACTCCCCTTACTTGTGCTCTCTCTCTCAAATAAATAAAATCTTAAAAAAAAAAAAAAAAAAAAAAGCACATCTGAAAGGGGGAGTTAAAACCCAAAATGTAGAAATTGGTTTAGGGAACGTTAAACCTTGCAACTGGCTGTCTGGCCTGCACTCCTGGCTCCAGAAGAGCCGGCGCCGCGCGTCCTAACCCGGGTCTCGTCGTCGCCGGGGTCCGCGCTCCCCGCGAGGTTCCCCGGGGGACGCGCTCGTCCTGGCGCCCGGGGCCGGCCGCCCGACACCACTGCCACACCACGTGGCCGCGCCGAGGTCTCGGGAAGTGGGCCCGTGGTCCGCCGGGCCCCCCTCCCGGGAAGGCCGCGCGCCGCAGAGCGGGGACCCAGCGGAGGGCGCGCGGGACGGCCGCGGCGGGCCGGAACCGCCCGGGCTGGCGCGGGGAATCGCTCCGGCGCCGCCTGCCCAGACCTCCCTCGGCGGGGCCTCCCGGCGCGTGCGGGGAAGGCGGAGCCTCGGAGGCCCGCGGCACGCCCAGCGCCCGGATATCTGCATATTTCACAGCCTCCGGCTCCGCCTGGGGAGATGCGCTGCCTGGAGAGCCCGCGGGCCTGGCTGGACCAGGCTCCCCCGCAGACATTTTACTCTGTTCCCCACCCTTCCTGCGCTGCAGACGGCGGGGTGAGTAGCCCTCAGAGGACACTAAGGGCCCAGAGCGTGTTTTTCTTGTTTGTGTTTTAGTTCTCAAATCAGCCAGAGGGTGTTGCTGCTGTGGGCGACGCTAGCAACGCGAAGGTGCTGAAAACCATCAGATCCTACTGACTGGAGAATATAAGCGCCTGCTCAAAGGGCACACTGTGGCTTTTTGTACTGATCAGCCATCGGCTTGTTATCTCATCCTAGACTCTGGTGGTTTGTTGCTCTAAAAGATTAGCATCAGAAAGCCACCATTTCCTTTAGCTTCCTGTCAAGAGCCGGACACCAGCGGACAGAGAGAAGGCAGATACCTGACTGAGCCTGGTCAACCTCTGTTTTCACTGAAAGACTGACACCCCATTCCTCCACTCTGTAAGGCGGCCTCCACTTGACATCACTGCTGCTACAAACTGCTGTCCTAAAATTCTGGTTTACTGTTTCTCTCTAAACTAAGAATGAAACATTTCACTTTATTTTTGTAAGATTTTATTTATTTATTTATTTGATAGAGAGAAAGAGCGCACAAGCAGGGAGAGGGAGAAGCAGACTCCCTGCTGAGCAGGGAGCCCCATATGGGACTTGATCCTAGGATTATGGGATCATGACCTGAGCCTAAGGCAGACGCTTAACCGACCACCCAGGCGCCCCGGAAACATTTCACTTTAGCAAATACCTGTGTGTCTTCTCTGGGCCAAGCAGGCATGGGGACAAGAAATACAAATATGAATTAAATACAGTTTCTGCCATTCAGCACCAATCAGAATATTCTTAAGTAATTAGGTAGTGTGATTCATGCTATACTATTGATGTGAGCAAAGTGGCTGATTCACATAATATATTTTCTAGAATATTAAGGTCTTTAGAATTATAGCCCTAATGACTAGATTTTTCCTTTTTGTTTTTTTTTTTAAGGATTTCTATAGAAGTGGGAAAAAGTCAGTGATGTAGGTCTGTCTTGGAGCCTACTCCAAAAGTTGCTGTGCTGGATATAGAAGGTTGGCATTCACATCTATTCCTACCCGCGTCTAGTATGCCTTCATGTACAGAACAAACTGGGAAGCTAAAAACTTCCTAGACTCCATTCCAACTAGAGTTCTAGATGTAAATTAGATGTAAAATTAGAGTCTGGCAAGTAGATGAACTTGTCTGAAATTTCAAAAGCAGATGTGAGGCACAGGCCATCTCCCTGCTATTTTTGGCTGTTTGCTGTTGGCAGGGAAGGTCCAGGAGATGCCAGTCCTAGTCTTCAGACTGTGGGTGTGGGGAGGGACTTAACAGCCGTGGTGACAGCCAGACTCAGCATTGGCATGTCGTATCACCAGCTCTGTGGCTGTCAAGAAGCAGTGGAGGGAAGTGGTGAACATATTCTGTTCCTTGTCCAGGCAGCGTCCAGATCCCAGCTTCCTCGGGGTCACAGCTACAGTGGTGTTCTTGAACTCCATAGTCCTTGGAAGGCTTTCAGCCTGTAGCAAAAATAGTACATTCCTCAGTGGTTCATTTGCTAGTGTTCTAGATGTCATTCCTGGAGGCCCAGTCTAGAACCTGCACTTCTAGCCCTTTCAACATTCTCTAGCCTTTAAATAATTCACTTAATTCCCTGTGTAAAACCTCTTCCTGTTTAAAATCCCTGAAACGGTTTCAATTTTCTGTACTGACTGATTAATATGTTTGCTCTGTGGCCTCTGTCACCTAAGCTGGATCTCTTCCATTTCTTTTGATGGGAAATGAAACCATGAGATTAGATTCGGGAGTTTGCAGTGATGTGAATGCCTTCGGTGAGACTCCACCCTCTGCAGTTGCCATAGACCCCCCCACCCACATTTGAGTTTGGCCCCTGAAGGTATTTGAGTTTGCTACTCGTTGACTAGATTATCTCTGAATTCTCTTGCTCTACAAATGTAACATAAAATACGTCTTCACTTAAAACAGCTACAGAGTATGTTCTGTAACAAAGGATTGCTGAATATCTATTTACTCTTTACTAGCCCTGTTGATAACTGGTAGGCCAGTGACTCTTGGTCAGCACACAAACACCAGTGATAGAACAGATCTGTCCTCTGGGAGAAAAGGTTTTATATCTTTTTCCATACACAGCCTAGGAGCATTGTATGTGGGGAAATGGAGCTACCTATATATGCGCTTGTGTAATGAGGAAGTGTTCTCAGTATTTTGTAGTCATGTGTCATACATGTTAAGAAGAGTACAATTATGATAAGTTTTAAAGAGCTTTTAACAGCCTTCTAAAGTCATTGAGTATCGCTTGTCCATATAACAAAAGCTCTTTACCTTTTTTAGAAATCTATTTTATTTATTTTTCTACAGTTTATATGAAGGACTAAAAGGCTTGAATTTGGCAGTGTCCGTTATCTGTGCTTTTCAGTACAGTATTTGTATGCTTTTTTCTCAAGAAAAATCTTATAAAAGGAAGATAAAGCATGGGGGGTTACTTTATTGGGACTCTGATGTACTTAATACTTACTATATTAAGATTTTCTGTGACATAGCCATTATCACCATTTACAGTTGGGAAAAAAACCTATCCAGACTGGCTAAGTAACTTGCCCAAAATGGCCCAACTAGGAGGCAGTGACCCAAGGATTTTCATTCAGGGTTTTTATCTCCATTTTCCTCTGACCGCTCCCCATTTTTGCACCATTATCCTCATTATACTCTAATTAATATAAATGTGCATAGAATTCCCTACATGCTCATCCTTTAATCATGTGGTTCTTCTGCCTGTAATGGTCTTTATTATTTTACAAGGCTAAGTAATCTTTCAAGATTTGATTCAAGTATCACTTGATGCCGGAGTCCAGCTCCAGCCAGGGTGGGTCTCTCGTAGGAAAGGACGGCGTCCGCGAATGAGGAGACACAGACACAGCATCAGGTTGCAAGCATCTCCTCCTGACAGCCTCAGAGGAACTTTATTTATATGTTAGGATTTTTTTGTTTTTCCATACTTTCGTAACATGTGATTATGATTTTTCACAATTGATTGAGATAATCTTAGATCATTTTTTTTGATTACAGACATAGCCTTCTCTTATTTTTTCTTTGTAATGATTAACATGACCTTTATTGATTTCCGCTTATTGACTTTTGCTAAAACTAAAAAACAATATGCAAAGAGAAAGGTGCCAGACAGAGCGTGACCGTCTTGCTATTTTGTTCTATAGCGCAGGAAATATAGTGAACTGTGGAACAGCCTGAGCTGTTCCTTTCTTAGACTCTGGCCGCTTCTGAGGCGCCTGGGGGGCCTCGTGGAATTAGTTTCATTATGATTGCTTGGATAGGCGTAACTAAGATGAGTAGTCACTGTATCATGAAACCCCAGAAACATTCCCACAATTATAAAGATTGCCATAAACAAAATGAAAGAGAATAGCAGGAGCCCGCTGTGGAGTCTCCTGTTTTCAGGATCGTCCCCCATACTTGGACTTTGTCAAACAGCATGAGCAGCTTGGCTCGCGCCATCTCCCCCTTTTTTATTTTTGGCCTTCAGTTGCAAAGTCTTCAATTCCAAATGAATTTGTTTTATTCCTCTACTTAGTAATTTGACGAAGACTGGAAAGAGAAACAAAAGGGAGATAATAATTAGTGCTGATATACCTAGATTGATGAGGGATGGAAACCAGGCAGTAGTGGAGGTGTATTTCTGCAAAGTGGCAAGAAAGGAATCTGCAACTTCTGAGGCTGTGGCTGAGGACACATGTGCCAAACTAATGTCTTTAATTTTTTCTTGCAAGGAGTTTAAGTCCAAGGATACATTATCATTGCTCCATATTCCCAAAAGGTGATTTTTGACGTTGTCCCAAGGGACAGATGAGGAATCATAATGGTGGGGAGTGACACAGATCCATTTATATTGTGCATGGCATCTAGTGGTTAACCGAGTTTTGAGATTTTGAATTTCATTTCCTACATATAATATAGTTTCTTCTAGAACATTTAATCGTGCCTCAAACTTCTTGTCTATTTGTTCCTGCAAATAAAGTGCAGTTGAAATATTCTGGGTTAATCTATCCACATGACGTGCAGTATGTATTTCCTATACTAAAGCAGTTGTAGATATAGCAAAAGAACTTATGATTCCTATAAGAGCAGTAATACCTAATATAAGTGCTGCAATAAATCTCTTAGGGCGGCGTAAGGCTTTATCTACAAGTTGAATCGTATACATGCCAGGATCATCATACCAATGTTCTTCTAATTTTACAGGTAACACTACATAAGGAGGTTGATGAACAACTATAAAGACAGTTGGTCCAACAGTTGGATCAATGCAATTAGTTAATGTACATTTTGAACAGGATACATAATAGGTATGATTAATCTTGTTTACCTGTAATTGGCCATGACCTTGCACCAAGAGAGCATGAGGGGGACCCACACATGCCGTGACCACCTCCATATGGTCAGGGCGTCTAGGCCTTTTTTAGTTCCTTTAAGACCTTATAAGGGAGTGGTTCCCACTGAGGTTCGTCCCACTCATCATCAAAAGTCACTGGAAAACATTTAAAGGTTAAATCCCCATCTCGCAAGGCCTCCTGTATTGCTCCCTTAAAGCCAATATTCTTAATAGGTGGCAAGGGTTTTTTACGAACGAAGGCCTTGTTCTGTGGAACTTTTAACTGTCTATGTAGATTAATCACAGAGCCGCATTCAGGGGCTGTGGCATTTGCAAAAATTTCCCAATCTTGTTCATGATATTTAGCAGCCTCCTCCTCAAGGGCTACCTCATCTTCAGAGGACAATTGATCGTCTCTCCCTTCAACTCTTTTATTATCTTTGTCCTCATCTTCTGATTTCATTTCATTTATTATCAGTACTTGAGAGGCTGATTTTTGTAATAGAGGTGTCTCTTCAGTGGGGGCAGCGTTATGTGTCTCCCATAATTTTTTGTGTAAAGCCTGTGAGCTAGGCATAGGATCTAACATATCTCTTAACAATGTCCACAAAGAGAATGCCTCCACAGGTACATTTTCAGGACCATGGTTAGAATAGTATAACCGCATTTCCTCCCCTATCTTGTTCCATGTTCTAATATCAAGACTACCATCTTTTGGAAGCCAAGGGCAACAGGTCTCTACAAAGGTCAAAAATCTAGCCAGTTGAGCATGAGTAACCTTAACACCTCTTTTTTCAATCATATGCTTAATAATATCAATAAAGAGTCGTCGTTCCTTTGACTCTTTATGGCCCATAGCTTCTCTAAGTTCTGTCTTTCTGCTCACTCTTACTCTGTATTCCTTCACAGAGGGGTCTGCAGTACCCACGAGCAGAGTCCTATCCGTCCTCGTAGAAAGGCTTACCTAGTCGAGCCCCACCGTTGGGCACCACCTGCCGGAGTCCAGCTCCAGCCAGGGTGGGTC